GTCTGTCCGTCATGGTGTGTGTCTCTGTCATGGTCTGTCATGGTGTGTGTGTGTCTGTCATGGGGTGTGTATCTGTCATGGTATATGTGTGTTTCTGTGTCTGTCATGATGTAAATGTGTGTTTAAAAATAGTGTTTTTGCTCACCTTTTTTTCCCCCCCACGCAGCGTGCTGGTCTCCCTCGACTGGCCCTGCCTCTATAGCTGAGATCATCAAGCTTGATGATCTCAGCCAATCCAATGCTTTGCTATAGGATTGGCTGCAAAACGCCACTCCAATCAGCATCTCCTCATAGAGATGCATTGAATCAATGTATCTCTATGGGGAACGTTCAGCACCTACAGAGTGTGGAGGCCCTGAATGTAGGTGCACTAACACAGGAAGCACCTCTAGTGACCGTCTGAGTGACTGTCACTAGCAGTGTCACTTTGAAGCAATGTAAACACTGCCTTTTTCTGAAAAGTCAGTGTTTACGTTGAAAAGCCTGTAGGGACATGCTATAGACACCAGTACCACCACATTAAGCTGTGTGTGTGCGTCTGCTAGTGAGTGAGCTTGCTTGCATGCGTGTGCCTGCTAGTGAGTGAGCTTGTGTTTTTATGTCAATGAGCTGATGTATATCAGTAAGATTGTTTGTCTATGAGGCTGTGTATCAATGAGCTTGTGTGTGTCACTGAAATGTCAGTGAAATTGCCTGTGTCTGCATGTGCGTATGCTTACTGTATAATTAAACGTTTTACCCTGAAAGGACCAATATTTTATATTAGAAAAAGCTATATATATATATATATATATATATATATATATATATATATATATATCTCAATCATCTGTCCTGGCAAGACATAGCCTTACATATTACACGCGACAATATATGGCGCAGTGACTTATGGGGCTGGCACAAATTTTTTTTCCAGGGCTGCTTTGTATCCCCAGTCCGGCCCTGCTAGGAACAGCCCTGCAAATTGAGCAACAAACTAAGGTGAAGGGTACTGCACTCTTCTGGGTGCAACCGGGCCTGAGGTAGTCCAAACCTCACTTTACAGTTCTGAGTAACAAATGACGGCCCAGGCACTCAAGGTGAAACCAAGTTAAGCAGGTTTATTAGATCAGAAAAAAAGCTTTTTATTACTTGGGTTTATTGGGTGTAGACTGGTGTGAAAAAATATAAACAAATATAACATGAGCTTTTAACATGAAGTTATCTGAATATCTGAATGCTATATATATATACAGATTTATTTCAACATGTATTCCTTGATGTGTTACAGGAAATGATTGCAAAACTTTCATCATGAGCCTCTCTGCCAGTTCTTACAAAGTTGAGTGCAAGAGCTGCTGAATTCTTAGTGTGGGAATATTTTGTTGCTTGAAGATGATCAAACTTGTAAAAGGAAGGAACATGTATTTTATTTTATTTTTTCTCTCTCAACTATTATTAAAAGGTATGCAATTTCTATTCTTATGTAATATAAATTAACTTCAAACTATAATCAGCTCTGTCACTGCTAAGTTTAATGCATGTTGTTAGCCTAACAAATAATGCCATGTTTAAAATAGGAATAAAATAAAAGTTCAACGGATGTATATGGCTCTCTATATGTATAATGTACATCAGGTTATCTTATTGTGCAGTGTCTACAAATTGCAGGATGTAGACGTTATATTCTTTCACTGTAGTATTTTAAAATCATCTAACTTACCAAGAATATCACGTTCATGTTTAAGTATAGCTATGTGTTCTGCATTGAATCTGACAAGAGATAGCAAGGTCGCAAGTATATTCTACCAATATGTTAAGCTACTTAATCAGATGAGATAACATGTGCAGAATATAAGCCAGTCTTGATATAAGTGCTTCTCCTCTGGTACCAATATTGATTGAAAGGTGGAAAAACTATCCTTACGTTTTTGTGTCTCTTTACTCCACTCCCTCTAGCATGTAAGCTCATTGAGCAGGGCCCTCAACCCCTCTGTTACTGTGTGTCCAACTTGTCTGGTTACAACTACATGTCTATTCGTCCACCCATTGTAAAGCGCTGCGGAATTTGACAGCGCTCTATAAATATAATAATAATAATAATAATAAAAACTGCTACATTTAAACCCCTCCTCCCCCCCCAAAAAAACAAACCTGTAGTCTATCATCTAATATTTTCCAGATCAATGTAGAAAACATTAAAAACATTGAAGAACACAAAATCAATACTTTTATTCAGACATTTCTATTCAGACTTTTAATTCATACTTTTAATACTTTTATTCATTTTATTATTAACCCATTCACTACTGAGCACTTTTTAAATGAAAAAATCTTAGCATAACATTTATTTGAAGAAAGGGATGTACAGCTAGTATATAAACATATGGTAACATGTACCAACGTAAAACGTATGGTTGCCGACAAACCTAAACATTTAAATTACGCAAGATTACACAGTTTGTATTTTTCACTTATACGTTCATTCCTCATAAAAATATTTGTGAAATGAAAAGCTTTAGACGGTATGTAGGGACCTATATCTTGCAATATTTCACACAGCGTCTGAAATGTAAGTTTAAAAAGGAAAAATTCTAGTTTTCCCACATACAGTAGATGTGACAAAAATGGTAAATAATAATGGTCAATACCTTGCTTATAGGTGTTTAGTTTTGTCAGGGCAGCTCTGCATTTTGGTCCCTGCAAAACTGGGTAGAGGGGGCCTGTCCTGCACTTTAAGAACTGTCCAGCAGATTCAGGAAGGAACGAGGCATTAAAACTATGCTTCAGTTGCACTTTGTGCATGGTCTGCCATGAGATGTTTACCAATTTCGGGGTCGATCAGTACCCTTTAACAGGCTGAGTTCACTTCTTTCATGGGGAGGATCTGCCAACCTGTGCAGCCCTCCTCTATCCCAGAAAGATGGGCAGGAAGGATTGGTTGGTATATCACCAGGGGTGAATTTTTACTTTCCAGGGCTGAATTTGTACTCACCAATGCCTTCTGTGGAGTGAACATTTTGAGCACTGTTAATTATATAGCTTTTGGATGTCATTACATGGAAAGTAAGGTTAAACTGAGAATAGATGTTCTTTATTACAGTTGTTTTACGTGCCGTGTTAATATGTAATGTATTTGTGCATTTTTCATCATCATCATCCTAATTCTGTGTATTGATAGAAATAGAATAATTCTTTATGGAGATATCTACATAGACTAATTTGAGATCTGGCGTGCATTCTATTATAATGTACAGACTTAGAATCTGTTTTTACAGAAGAAAACAGTCACTTGAACTTGCTGACCCACTACCTACAGGAATTATCTTATCAGATAACTAGATTTGATAGTGTATAAAAGTTAGAGATTGACCGATTATCAGTCTGGGCGATATTCTGTATTTTCAGCAATATCGGTATCGGCCAATAAAAATACAATATTGCCGATAATGCATACCGGGGCTCTTATCAAGGTCCTGGGGGACCCAGCCCACTCTTACTTACCTTCACAGCAGCTTCCTTCAGTTCCCCTGTCTAACTCTCGCGGGTCTCGCAGCTGTCAGAGTGTGGCCACTGGTTACCATGGCAACGCTCTGCGCAGCATGCAAGCCATGAAAGTTAGACAAGGGAGCTGCTAGGAAGGGAAGTAAGAGTGTGCTGGGCCCCGCAGGACCGCCGCGGGCCCACCCCAGGAAATGCCATATCCCCCCTCCCTGGCCAGGTAAGAAGCAGGGAGTTGGGACAAACAAAATGTAAAAAAAATGTATATTTAAAAAAAAGTTTAAAAAAAATGCCCCCCCCCACACATTTTACACACATTACATACTTACACAACACTCCTTGCACATACACACACTGCACAAATACTACACAACTACACACACACCCTGCATTCATTATATACACACACTACACAAACACACTGCATTAACTATATACACACTACACAAACACACACTCTGCATTAATTATATACACACACACAGCATTCACTATACACACTACACAAACATACACTGCCTCCACTACACAAACACACACACACTGTATTCACTAATCAAATACTCTCACTGCATCCACTACACACACATATATTCTTGAAAACATAAACCATTCTGACTGGCATGTATATTTTGTGCATTTACCTTAATAAAAAAAAGATATGCAAAAAAATAAAATAAATAATAAACATGTTCAGTTAACAGTAGATTTGTGTAGAAATAGTTTATTTTTTCAAAATGGTAAATAGACAAAATATCGGTATCGGTAAGCTATCGGCTATCGGCCTGAAACTTCACAGATTATCGGTATCGGCTCTAAAAAATCAATATCAGTTGATCCCTAGTGTGTAGGGAACATGGTGTGGTGCAGGATAGAGATGTAGTGTGTAGGTTATGAATTGTATGTATGGAACATGGTGTTGTGCGAGATATGGATGTAGTGTGTATGTTTGTAGGTTATGTAGAGTGTGTATGGCAGATATGTATGTAGTGTATGTAGGGCACATAGTGTTGGGTGGGGTGGTATAGAAATGTAGTGTATGTAGGGCGTATAGTGTGGGGTGGGATAGGGATGTGTGCGTAGGGCAGGATAAGGATGTAGTGTGTGTAGGGCACATAGTGTGGGTGGGTTAGGGATGTAGTGTGGGTAGGGCACATACTGTGGGATGGGATGTAGTGTGTATAGGGCACATTGTGTGGGTGGGATAGGCATGTGGGGTTGGTAAGGCACAAAGTGTGGGTTGGGATAGGGACATAGTGTGGGTAGGGCAAGATAGGGATGTAGTATGTGTAGGGTGGGATCGGGATGTAGTATGGGTAGGACACAGTGACTAGTGACAGAGTGAGGGAGGGGGTGACAAGTTACAGAGTGAGGGAGGGAGTGGGTGACTAGTGGCATAGTGAGGGAGGGGGTGACTTGTTACAGAGTGAGGAAGGGGATGACTAGTGGCATAGTGAGGAAGGGGGAGACTAGTGGCAGAGTGAGTGAGGGATGGGGTGACTAGTGACAGAGTGAGTGAGGGAGGGAGGGGTGACTAGGGACAGAGTGAGGGAGGGAGAAGGTGAGTAGGGACAGAGTGAGGGGGGGAGGGGGTGACACTCTGTCCCTACTCACCCCCTGCCTCTCTCTGTCCCTAGTCACCCCATCCCTCACTCACTCTGCCACTAGTCTCCCCCTTCCTCACTTTTTTCTGTGTAGATTTTGAATCCATACCAGATTCCTACTGGGTTGATCACCCCACCCATCCATTATACGTGTCTGTTTGGATGTGACCACAGGAAAGCATATATTGGAGCAGTTTACGTAGTAAACATTTTAGTTAGCATGTTCATCTCCCATATTAAAATTAGTGTAGGACCCACCGATATTGGGTTACTGTGAAGAAGTGGTGGGCTTAACACGATATCGGCATGTGGTGTAACTGAATCCCTATATATGTTTGCTAAGATAGGTGATTTTAGTTAGACTTGTCAAATGTAAAACTGTATTTTTGTGCGCGTGCTGTTCTTTAACCCCTTAAGGGCACATGACAGAAATATTCTGTCATGATTCCCTTTTATTCCAGAAGTTTGGTCCTTAAGGGATTAATCTGTATTTTGTTTAGTGGTTATTGTGCCATGAGTGTGCTGGCACCTCGTTTTCTGAGAGGTCTAGCAGTAGTAATATTAATTAATTTAAAATTATTTTGATGCCTGTCTTTGGCTAATAACATTTTCTAAACAAACTCTTTAAATGAGTATAATGCCATTTCTTAAACCCTGACTGTGGTTGGATGCTAAATTAATTTTCACCCAGCTGGGTTGCAGCACTGTTCTAAATGACCTTCTCTGCAAAAAGACATTTAAAACTGCCTGTCTTGTTATTAAAAATCACGTTATATCACTGTGGCGAAAATAACCTCGCCACTGGGTTTTGGAGGGGCCTGTTTGTCAGCCATTTCCCTCAGGATTATGGGCCTTGCAAAAAGACATGCTAAAACGTCTATTTGGGCTTATTGGATTTTAAAACACTTTGTCTGCTCATTTAAATCCATGGGAAAATGTGCCTCCCCCCTCCCCATTTTTCCTGTCCTATTGTTCTCCAGCAGGACGTTGTGTGTGTATATAATGAATGCAGAGTGTATGTTTGTGTAGAGTGTAAATAGCGAATGCAGTGTGTTTGTGTAGTGTGTGTATATAATGAATGAAGAGTGTGTGTGTTTGTGCAGTGAGTGTTTGTGTAGGTATGTAATGCGTGTAAAATGGGGGTGAGGGCATTTTAATTTGTTTTACTTTTTATTTTTTTTATATTAAATTTTTTACATTTTGTTTGTGCCCCCTCCCTGCTTTTTACCTGGCCATTACATTGGGGGGCCCGCGGCAGTCCTGGGGGGGGTCCCAGCACACTCTTACTTCCCTTCCCAGCAGTTCCCCTGTCTAACTCTCCTGGCAACGATCTGATGGCCGCGGGACTTGCAAGAGTTAGACAGGGGAGCTGAAGGGAGCTGCTGGGAAAGTAAGTAAGAGTGTGCTGGGCCCCCCAGAACCCTGATGGCGGCCCTGGTTTGCATTATCGGCAACATCGGTATCTTTATTGGCCGATACCGATATTGCTGAAAATACAGAATATTGGCCGACAATATCGGCCAGACCGATAATCGGTCGATCCCTACTACACACACAACATATTCTACACACTACATCCCTATCCCACATCACACTATGTTCCCTACACACACTACATAACCTACAGGGGTGCTCTATGCACCAGAGCCAATAAAGTTTAATGTACTGGTTCTGGAGCAAAGAGATTGACCATGTAGGCTCAGCAGTGTAAGCACTGCATTTTCTGTAACCAAGCAGGATATAAATGGCCTCATGAGGTGACCTCAGTTTATTATAGTTATATTTTTTGATAAAGTAAGCTACATTTCTTACTTGGAAATGATTCTGTTTAAGTTCACTACCTACTTGCTTTCTTCGGTTTCATTTAAGTATTATTAGGTCTCCTAACTATCAATAAAGACCTTATTTAAATACGATTTTGATTCAAATAATTTTTTGTATCAGGACAAGTAGATTGGGCAAACGCTTTAGTCCCTAGACAAGTAACTTTTTTTTTTTTTAATTTCCACACCCCTGACACAGGCAACAAACATATACACATTACATACATACAGGCAGCACACATACACTATACATACATTCATACAGGCAGCAAACATATACACACTGCATACATACAAGCAGCACACATGCAGACAGTGCATACATACAGGCAGCACACAAGACACGTAGCGAGCACACACTATGACAAAGGGAGAAACCAAACTAAGGGTAATCCACTATATTTGGAATTTGTGTTAAATAAATCCAAATTGTAAAATTACAAAAAGTTAGAGAATATTTCTAGATCAGCTTTTTTGCCTTTTTTTGTCCATTCAGATTTAATTTGTGAAAATGAGTTTAGCAAATAGCCCTGTCAATGTCCATGGCTCTAGGCAAGGGCCCCCAATCTTTGTAATTTATATTATTTTGTGTCAGGACAAGCAGATTGTCATAATGGACAAGTATATTGGCTACTACTTTACTCCCTTGGACAAGTAGATTTATTTTAATATTTCACACCCCTGCACATTCAGACACACTTTAACGCTCAATACACATATGCATTCACACTGACACTATATACAAAAAAGCACATGTAGTCATCCAGACATGCACAACTTCATTCACACAGACTCAAATACAAACATGCATTGATACACAGGTCTTCACACTGTACACATCCAAAGGAATGCTGTATTATATGAGAGTTATATTTAACTTTTATATAATGCACATATATTTGGTCTTCAAAGGGCCTGGGATCAAATTTTCCCCTGGGACCCCAAAGGCTCTCAATCCGCCCCTGCCTGCATGTAAGCTTATCCTATACAATAAGTAATCATTATTTGGCACATTTGATTTATTGTTCACTGTTAGAAGGACTTTGGGAATCCTTGTATGATTTACTGCAGGCCCCATTTTTTTATTTTTTATAGTGAGAGCCATATGAGTGAGTGCTGAATAATAAAATGAACTACAATTGGCAAACCAAAGTTTAGCATAAATGCAACAATGTGTGACAATGGCACTACTAGATATATATTGAAATTGTACTAGATATATAATTGAAATTAAAACTAATGGAAATATAGAGGCAGATCTAATCTTGTGAAAGTGGCTTGTGGTTTTGAAACTTAGCTGTGTTTTGAAGTAAATGAAATGACTGTGTGAATAGTTTGACTCAAGTGAAATTATGCATGCATTTAGATATGTGGAAAACCCTAAGTCATAAACTAAATGTAAAATCATGTGTGGGCAGGGCCTAACCGCCAAGCACAGCGGATGCAGGTTGCAACAGCTCCTGTGAGACGCTGACAATTCTTTTGAATTTACCCGAGCTGCAGCTTAAATCGGGCAAAAGCAGACCAACACACGTCAGGGGACTTTGCGACCTACATGCTGATGCCACACAAGTGGTTGCCTAGGCCTGCTCTGCCCGAGAAACTCTTGAGGCCTAGATGAATGGGTGACATGGGGTAGAAGGCTGCTTTCCCGCCGCCATGACTCTCGGCTGCTCCACAGAAGTGCCTCCTTTCCCCCCCTATGGACTGGCAGGGGTTATCCCGATCCCCACCGACCTGGCTCATGCGTTGCAACTGGCCCCTGAGGCCCATAATAGCCCTCACTCTTCTTGCGATGGGCCCAGCAAAATGGCGGCCTCCACCTTGAACCCTGCATCCTCTCAAGCTCTGCACGAGCAACTGGATGACATACTCTGCCACTTTTGGGAGAAGCTGAAGCAGTGCACCTCCCAATCCCCCTTATCTAGACCGTGGTAGCGAAGAAGGCAGTGGTCATGGGGCGGAATAGGCTTCTTCTGGGCAAAGCAACAAGCCCTCAATACTCGGACCACGCGCCCACCACGGCCGGAGGTCACCAGGACACCCCTTTCAGGACATCGACCACTATGCAGGAATGCCACCCGCCACTGGCAGCTAACGACCATCAGGACCTTCCACAGCACCCATAAAGGGAGAGGCCTCACTGAGCACCCGAGTCTGTGGATCAAAGATGTCGAACTCACACAAGACCTGGAGCTGGGGAGAGGCCCTCTGCCACCTACCCCTCCTCTTCGGCCTTCGACCCTCGCAGGTGCCTGCTCTGACAGTAACCAGCTGTGGAATCGGCTGACGCAGGGACCCGAGACCTGGACACATCGCACCAATCATGGAAAATTGGACTGCAGGGCCGGAGTAATGACTACCCACTAAAGTTGACTTGAACTCTCTACCTATCTTTATATATTATCCTTCACTTCTAAGCCTATATGACACACACTGCCCACAGACTAACCTGCCAGGGGGATATCATCCCAATGCTGCCATTAATCTCTATGCTAACCCATATCAGCTGAGCATGGCAGCTAGGGGGTACTTACCATACCAGCACAAGCACACCATGCATAGCGAGCCACTTCACAAGCTTATCTGTGTTAATATATGGTCTCACTCTCTCATGTATTGCCTTCTATTCTATTTTTGTTTCATGTACATATGTTGGTTTTAAGACTTGTTTCCTTTAAATATATACTTACCTACTCGCCACTACAAGGCCACACATGAGGCACCTAGGTGGATTTAAGCATGTAACCCTTATGGGTCTGCCCTCCGTACCCACGTAATACTTCCATCCACGTTAGGCGGCAAAAGCAATGGGCCAGTCACCATCAGCCTAATATGCATATTACTTGTTAAGTGAAGAATCTTTTGGGTGGAAGCCATGTGTTCGGAAGTATTATCTTGTTGAATATTAAAAAGAGGCTGTCATGCTCCAGGTTATACTGTATTTTGCAATTATACACCTGCACTATACTTACCTGCTATAAGCCATTCTCTTTATTCTGTAACGTTATACTTTGTCACAATAAAAGAAAGATTGACAACAACAAAAAATGTAAGATCAAGTGGAGGTGTCTTGAAAAGCACACTAATGCACCAGCAAGCAGTAGCAAATCATAAAATATATACACTATATACTGAATTGCTTCTTTCCACTTGAAACACCCCAGCATACAGCCACATGGTCTCCATAGGTAGATTCCTTTACAGGTGAGTGTATGGAAGACAATCAGCTTATAATTTTACCTTAACAACTTCCCGTTAACCAATTTAGGCATTCACTACAAGCTGGGCTGAAAATTCGCAAACTCCAGAGATTTAGAGAGAAGAAATGATTAATTTCAGACCTCATGTAAGATCTTTATCGTCTGTCTCTTACTTTAAATCATAAAGCATGTAGCTAGTATATTTGCCAAAAGAATATTAGAAATCAAGCTCTCCCATACAGATACCATTTTAGTCTTTATAGTGGTGGCTCTACACTTTGTGAGGCTTTAGGCAAAACTGAAACATGAGGCCCCCACTAACACCCATAGTGAAATAATATAAGGGTTGCATTGCGTATGTGTAAGGTGCTAGTTGTATTGAAGGATGGGCTTGTAGCACTAGATACAGAGAGATAGTCTCTGTATTCATTATTTTGAGGCTTGCACTGTCACGGCTCCGTGTGCCACTGCATTCTCCCTATTTTGCTGCATTCTCCCTGAGCTGCTGCATTCTCCCTGTGCCGCTGTATTCTCCCTGAGCCATTGTATTCTATTTGTACTGCAGAGCTCTCTGACTGTAGTTATGGCATCATTTGCAAACTTTATTCAGTTGCAGTGAACACATTTAATTTGCAGCTATACTAATGGTTTAAACACGATTGCAGGACACTGTTGCATTGCCTGGCAGCTGTGTATACATAAGTTCCAATCTGAAGGGTTATTCCAAACATAAATTAAAATATAGATTGGGCAAAAAAGCTTTTGAAATATCATTTACCAAATAATAAAGTTACAGATAAGAAAACATTGTCATAGACATTTTCCCAAAAAATTCTATAACCCTTTTACATATATATTATACTATATAATATATGTGTGTTGCCCCATGTAGATTATATTTGATATAGGTTCCACTTTACCTTTGCATGAGGAAACCCAGCAGCTACTATTGTCCATACCATACCACCCTCACATTGCAGTCATACACACACTACATATACACAATGCATGCACACATATACACATTAGTACACAAAGACAAACACACTCTGATACTAGCATATGCATACATACACATACAAACACACTGATGCACAGAGATACACACATTGACAAATGCAGACATACAGTCATATTGTGTATCTGGCTGTGTGTCCAGTGTTGTCTACCTGTGTATGTGCCCAAGAGTGTGTGTCTGACAGAGTGTATCCTTTTGTATGCATTTATATCTCTGTGCACATTGTGTTCATGGCGAAGCTATGTTTCATGACTGTATGTGTGATGAATGTCTTCAGAGGGTGCCTGTGACATGGTGAGTAAAGGTGTAACTATGGCAGAGTTAGAGTGAGAGGGCAAGTTGGTGAATGAGACAGAATTAGTTAGGTGTGTGTGACAGAATAAAAGAGGATGAATATGACAGGATTGAGGGTGAGTGTTATTACATGGTTAAAGTAAGGAGTGTGACAGGGCAAGAGGAGGTAAGTGTGAAAGGATTAGGGGGTTAATGTGACAGGGTAAGTGTGGCATAGTTGGTGAATGAAAATCACAGGGTTGGGATTAATGTGGCATGGTTGAAGGAGAGTGGAATACAAAGAGGGGCAGTGAGTGTGAACCAATTAAGGAGGGTTGTTGTGATAGGGTGAGTTCCGCATAGTGTGACTCTAGAAACGTTACAGGGCAAGGATGGCAGGGTTGGGGGGAGAGTGTGACAGGGATTGGGTGAGTGTGGCATGGTTGGAGGAGGGGATGAGTGACAGGATTGGAGGGGATAATGTGATAGGGTGAGTGTGGCAGCGTCATAGAGGGTGAGTGTGACAGGGTTGGGGAAGGAAATGGCTAGTGTGTACAGTTCAAAATACATACTTTAATCAGAACATACCTCAGTAAGGATGAAGGCACATATAACTTGTTTTTATTTTTTTAGCATCATGACCAACTGTAGCATTTGCCTCTTCAAATGATATTTACAGAGCTGTGACCTGATATTTTCAACAATGAGCAATATAAGCTAGGCGTAACTTCTGTTTGGCCACCATATACCCAGATCTGTTTTTTTTTTATAAAAAAATAATTCTTAAATGGGTTACGACAAGGGAAAATATCTTGTATCTCACTCATGGCAGTATTGTGTATATGTAGCAAAGATGCCTCTGACACAAGCTCCTGGAGCAGCCTGCTGGCTAGCCTCCTGCCCAAGGACTATGAACGCTGTAACCAACCTCTAAAAGACTTGGTTCGTGTGGATTCCCTTTATTGTTTGGTAACCAAACAAACCCACAAACTGTGGACTACCTCTGGGCTTGTTAACCTCTCCTGACACCTCAATCATCGTTTCACACTATGGATTCTAAGTGTTCGGCTGGGTGGCCGTTGTTTTGTTTGCACGAACGCAGGCAGTCGTGTTTGGTCGTCGAGTGCATGGAACTAAAATCGACCAATCGGACACAGTGATGAACTTTGATGAACGTCTGCTTTGTTGCTATTCATGTCAGGAGAGTGCCATTTGGTAGGACTGTTCACATGAACTAGGCGAACAATCGCTACCTAGGAGCCAGAGGATTGGTTCGGTATTTTGCTCGGTTTTGGACTCCCGAAAGTGACCGACTGCTACCATTTTTCTTATGGAAAGATTATGGGCATAAGCCGTGCGTGCGGTCAGTTAAAAATTGACTTCCATTAAAAATCCAAACCACCAAAATGATCTGAGTGATTTTAGGATATGATGGTCACTTAGATCAGTGCTCTCCTGGGATGGGGCTCTTGAGGGTTGTAATATGTCTGTTTTGGGGTGTTGTAAAATTGTTGTATTTTCTGTACCTGGAGATAATTGAGTTTGTACAGTCCTGACTCAATTATGTCTCAGGCACAGGGGATTAGTTTACTGTGTGCATACATTCTGAAGCTTTGCTTACATTAAAAAGATCTACTCCCAGCATTCATTCTCGACTAATGTGTGTATATCGTATACAATTAATTATACTTATCTCTTATCTAGTCCAAGATAAAGGAGCAACATCAAGGTAATGCTACCATAGATGATGACCATGAAGAGTTTATTATAATTACCGTATTTTTCGCTCCATAAGACGCACTTTTTTTCCCCTCAAAAGTGAGGGGAAATGTCTGTGCGTCTTATGGAGCGAATGTGAATAATTACTTACCTGTCTTGGAGCGTGGGCCGGCTTCACAGCGCGCTCCGCGGTCCAGGAACTTCTATTTCAGGTTCCGGTTTCCGGCGGGACTGAAAGGAAGTGTGCACACGCGCTCCGCGGTCCAGGAACTAATATTTCAGGTTCCGGTTTCCGGCGGGACTGAAAGGAAGTGTGCACACTCAGTGTGCACACTTCCTTTCAGTCCCGCCGGAAACCGGAACCTGAAATATTAGTTCCTGGACCGCGGAGCGCGCTGTGAAGCTGGCCCACGCTCCAAGACAGGTAAGTAATTATGGGACAAGGGGAGGGGGAGACACTATGGGACAAGGGGAGGGGAGGAGACACTATGGGACAAGGGGAGGGGGACACTATGGGAGAAAGGGAGGGGAGACACTATGGGACAAGGGGAGGGGAGGAGACACTATGGGACAAGGGGAGGGGAGGAGACACTATGGGACAAGGGGAGGGGGACACTATGGGACAAGGGGAGGGGGGACACTATGGGACAAGGGGAGGGGGAGACACTATGGGACAAGGGCAGGGGGGACACTATGGGACAAGGGCAGGGGGGACACTATGGGAGGGAAAGTGCACTATGGGACAATGGGAGGGGGGGACACTATGGGATCAGAACACTAATGGACAAGGGGAGGAGGGGTTAAAGAACACTATGGGACAGGGTAGGAGGGGTTAACAATCACTATGGGACAGGGTAGGAGGGGTTAACAATCACTATGGGACAGGGTAGGAGGGGTTAACAATCACTATGGGACAGAGGAAAGGGGGGTTAAAGATCATTATGGGACAGGGAAGAAAAAAAAATATTCTGAACAAACTGTCCCATGGTAAGAAACACTATGGAACAGTTTGTTCAGAATATTTTTTTTTCTGGGTTTCCTCCTCTAAAAACTAGGTGCGTCTTATGGTGAGGTGCGTCTTATGGAGCGAAAAATACGGTATTCTGAGTGGGATTTTCCTGTTTCTAATTGTAAAGTCCCAAGATCAGAGTTATATCAATGACTCCTTAAAACCAAAAATTCTTCGGTGATGAACATACAGAGTGACATGCTGTCCTTCACTAGAATGACCTTTCTGTGGAGCGATCAATTCTCCCGTCCCTGTTTAACCCCTTAAGGACTGGACTGTTTTTGCGATGTTGTACATTTGCGACCAGGAATATTTTTACACTTTTGTGGTGTTTGTGTTTGGCTGTAATTTTCCGCTTTCTCATTTACTGTTCCCATACAAATTATATATTGTTTTTTCAGGACAAAAGGGGCTTTCTTTACATACCATTATTTATATAATCTCATGTATTTTAATTTAAAAAAAATACAAAAATCTGATGAAAAAGTGAAAAAAATACATGTTTTTTGACTTTTACTTGAAAAATCTTTTACTCATCTACAAAAGCGAATGAAAAAAACTGCTAAATAGATTCAAAATTTTGTCCTGAGTTTAAAAATACCTAATGTTTACGTGCTTTTTTGCTTTTTTTTGCATGTTATAGGGCTATAGGTACAAGTAGGATATTGCGGTTTCAAAACATACATTTTTAAAATGTATCAATAGTGACATTGTAACACTATTATCTGTCATAAATCTCTGAATAACACCCACATGTACATATTTTTTTTAAAGTAGACAACCCAGGGTATTCAATATGGGGTATGTCCAGTCTTTTTTAGTAGCCACTTAGTTGAAAACACTGGCCAAAGTAAGCATTCATATTTGTTTTGTGTGTGAAAAAAGTAAAAAAACTAAATTGAACGTTAATTTTGGCCAGTGTTTGTGACCAAGTGGTTACTAAAAAAGACTGGACATACCCCATTTGCAATACCTTGGGTTGTCTTCTTTTGCAAATGGTATGCCATCATGGGGGTAATTCTCATTCCTGGGCTACCATACGCTCTCAAAGGCAACGTAGCCAACCTGGCCATTTTCAATGTAAAAATATTTGACCCATATATTTGACAGCGCCAACTCAAAATGCTATAAAACCTGTACATGGGGGGTACTGTTTTTACTCAGAGACATCGCTGAACACCTGAAATATTGAGTGTTTAAAAACTGGAAAACGTATCACAACAATTATATCATCAGTAAAACTGCTGTTTGTGTGTGAAAAATGCAAAAAAAGTAACTTTCACTGACAATATCATCGCTGTGATATGTTTTACTATTGTGAATCACTAATATTTGTGTTCAGCGAAGTCTCCCGAGTAAAACAGTACCCCCCATGTACAGGTTTTAGGGTGTCGTAGAACGTTACAGGGTAAAATACAGTGCTAGCAAATTAAATTCTCTGGAATTTCGGCCTGGGTTGGCAGGCAGGTCCCTCAAATTGCAATCAATAAAATTACTGAATTATGTAAAAAATATTACATAAATGCAGCACGTAAATTTAAATATATAGCGCGGTTTCATTTTATATATATTTGAAGTCTCGTGTATATTTACTATAATTATTTATGTAATTTTGTATATGGGCGTATGTATATTTCTTATTATTTTTATTTATTTTTTATATACATAGATATATATACAAATTCATTCTAAGTGTATTTTGATATAAATATATATATATTAATTTTAAAATACAGTTAGAATAAAATTTCATATAGCTATATAATTTTTTTTAAATTTTTTATTATTATTTAAAAAAAAAAATATTTAATTTAAATTACTTATTATTTATATTTTATAATAATATATATATATACAATATATATAGTTATTATATATATTATATATATACGTGTGTAATTTAATTATAAGTGTATTTTTATATTAATATAAGTATATATTAATATAAAAATACACTTAGTATGACATTATATATATATGATATATAGACATATATTATATAGATATAATATATGTCTATATATCATATATACACATATATAATTATTTTTATTTTTTTACTTAACACTAACTTTATTTTTTTTCTTCTGATTTTACACTAGCAGGGAGACTGCCTGTCAGCACAGACAGTCCCCCTGCAGGCAGACACATGGACACCTATTTGTGACCATGTGATGGCTGTATTAGCGTCACATGGCCACAGAGTCACTGTCTGCCGTGGGGAGACTGTCTGGGCTGCCTACACAACGGAGAAGACACTGATAGCCTTGAAGCGGCGGCGTCCAGGTAAAAGCCAGACCGTTAGGACGGTTCAGGACCGTCATCGGTCGGCAAGGCAAAAATGCCGATGACGGTCCTGAACCGTCCTCGGTCCTTAAGGGGTTAAAGGAATACTGAATTTCAACACAGTCCCATATCCTCTACCATTTAACAATGAGGAAACCCAGCAGCTACTATAATTTCCAGGTTTCAGTTGTTGTTATTAGAAAATTAGTATGCGTTAATGAGGGATGGACCAGAGACCTCTCCTAGTTTTCCTTAGTTGCTGAGCATGACGGTGGAGAAGAACACTGATAGACGTTCCTGTGCTGCCCCATCAATAGTGCCCTGGATTTGTGCTCTGAAAGAAAAGTAGTTAGTTTGTTTAGTTTACTCAATTGGTTAATGTGTCATCATGAAGCTTCTAGATTTAGCTAGCAATCCTCTATTTCAGCAGTTGCTATCAGAAGATAGATTCATCTCCACAACATCAACAGAGTAATACCATTAGCCAGCAGTTTACCATCACCTGGATTATCAAATGATTATGTGACACTTTCAGAAAAATGGGACTTCCCTCTTTCTTGGGATGCTATTTCCATTTTGGTGGTCAGGGTCTCTTTATATCAACACTATAGCAAAGCTCCCTGGTGTCTATTAATTTCACAAAATCACTGTTTTTCCTGGTTATGTGTGTTATTATTATTATAGCATAGTTCTTTACCTGTACATAAAAGAGGGATCAAAAAAAAAAAAAAAAAAAAAAGTATTTTCCTTTTCCTCCACAATTATTGAGAAAGGTGATGAGTGGCAAAACCACCAGAATATTTTCTACTACCACAGCTATAGAGCACTGATAAAGTTTGACAAGTTTTCTTCATCATAGTGGTTTGGTTGTATGTGTATAATCAGCCAGCTTTTAGTGGTTATATTTATACTGCACCCCTCTGTCAGCGCATGCTATCAGTAGTTATAGACAAAGCTCTACAGCAACAGCTATGCTTTATGGCTAACTAGTCTTATCTGTTAAACAATACAATACACAAACTGTTTACCTGTTCTGCTTTTGTGTTTCTTGAAGGGTTCAACCAAGTGATATCTAAATGTGCTGTTGAGGATGAATTCCATATTGTCAAATGCAGCTGGATAGATACCAAACTAATTCAAAATACCTTGACGAATAATGAAAGTTATATTACTTGGTACAAACACACAGATTCAAACAACAAAGTGAATATTTCTGCAAATGTGAACAACAGGATAACTGCTAAAGGAGATACACTTGAGTTTTGGCCATTACAGTTAAATGATTCCGGAGAATATAGCTGTGCTATCCAGTAAGTAAACATTTTAAATTATTATAAAAGCAACAATACTATACTCCCAAACCAGAGCTAGCAGAGTTGGCTAGGGACCTTCCTTAGCAATTACAGCAGATGTGTTGCTATACCGTGGAGGTTCCCTACTGCACAACCTTATCAATCAAGTCTTTGGCATAGAGTCTATGCTGAAGAATTGTTTGACAGGTAGGGAAAGACTTGTTTTTCAAAAGGTTTTCCTCTCAATCTATATATTGCTAGCAAACCTTCTAACACAATATATAGATAAAATAGGATGATCTTTAAAAAGCAAAATTAGTTTTGGCCCTGGCAAGTTCCATTTAATGGCATCATAAACACACCATCTTATTGAAATAGTTATGGTATCTAGAGTCCCCTGGTGCCAACTCATGGTTAATTTCCCAATGTTCAAACTGAACGAGCATCCCCTGCAGCCAGGTCTCTCTATGTTGTTTAGACTTATTCTTCCAAGTTATCTTAAACAGTGATGGGTACCAGTGATTGACTGCGAGTATTGAAAAGGGCTTTATTTTCATTGGGAATGGAATCAACAAGGCTGTCCATTAGCACCCCTCCTATATATTTTATCCATTAAGTCACTTGCGACATATATGAGATTATCACGTAATATCTCAGGTGGTTTTTAAGTAGACCAAGAACAGAAAATAACACTATTTGCTGATGATGTAATTTTTACCTTGACAAATCTAGAAATGCCCCTTCCAGCAGTAATGAACTGCATGGATGAATATAGTTACCTTTCTAACTATAAAATTAATGTACATAATACCCAAGTTATTCATAGGAATTTAACACACTCACTGGTCAAAAAACTCTGGATTTAAGTGCTCTTAAAATTCCATCTTATATCTCGGAATTAAGATAAATTTTAATGTCAGTTCATGGCTTCAGGAAAACTATGACATACTTGTTCAAGAGCTTAACGGTCTGACAGATAAATGGAGTAAAATATAGCTCTCTTGGCTTGGGAGTATAAATACCCTTAGATCCTATTTACTTCCCAAGTTAGAATATCTCTTTTGTATAATACATCTTAGAGTCCCCAAAATAGTCCCCAAAATAATGTTGAGGTTGTTTCCTAGACTATTTGTATTTTATGTTTGGGATGGAAAAAAAAACTAGGATGAAACAATGCTAACCAGAACATCAGAAGGGGGATTTATCATTTCCCAATGTTTTTCTTATTCACGACACTGTTATGTTTTCACATTATCTAGAATGGGGAAACATGTATTCTTTAACCCCTTAATGACACAACTTCTGGAATAAAAGGGAATCATGACGGAATATTTCCATCATGTGTCCTTAAGGGGTTAACGAAACCCTGGTGTATGTTTGAAAGAAAGATCATTTGATCCTGTTCACTTTGGATAGATAAAAACATCTATAGAAATTTGAAGATAGACAACTTAGTTATCAACCAAGTCTTTTACTCTGTAGATGCAATAAAGAAACTCTTAATCTCAAACAACTTTCTAAACATACTCCATTGATAGTTCTGAAATTACTTATTCAAGATTTGAATTTGACAGGTTGGTCAGACGCAGGATTAATGAGACTAAAATAGACACGTGCAATTAGTTTCGGTCCGAATTTAAATTCGTATGAATTTCGGCAATTCGGACATTTGGATGCTTCTGAATGTCCGAATTGCCGAAGTGCGAAAGTCCTGAATTGCCGAATTGTGGAAATGCCAAACCTAATTTTGGAAGTGCCAAATTGCCGCAGTCCTGAATTACCGAATTTTGGAAGTGCCAAACTGAATTGCTGAAGTGCCGAATTTCGGAAGTGCCGAAGTGCTTTGAAATTCTGAAAAGTGGCAAAACAGGAGAGGGAGGGAAAATTAAGGGAATGATGACAGGAATCTAACCCTATCCCTAAGCCTACTCCTAACCCTGGCCCTAAACCCACCCCTACCCACCTATTAGGATTAGGGGTAGAGTTAGGGTTAGGTTTAAGGGTAGGGTTAGGGGTAAAGAAAGGTTGGGGTTAGGGTAGGTTAGGGGTGGGGTTACGGTTAGGGGTAGGGTTGGGTTAGGGGTTAAGGCTAGAGGTAGGTTAGGTTTAGGGGTGTGGTTAGGGGTAAGGGAAGGTTTAGGGGTGGAGTTAAGGGTAGAGGTAGGGTTGGGGTTTTGGGTAGGGTTAGGGTAGAGTTAGAGGTGGGATTAGGGTTAGGGGTAGGGTTAGGGGTAGCGTTAGCAGTTAAGATTAGGGGTAGGGTTAGGGGTAGGGTTACGGTTGGGGTAGGGGTAGGAGTTAGGGGTAGGGTTAGGGCTTAGGGGTAGGGTTATGGGTAGGGTTAGGTTAGGGTAGGGTTAGGGTTGGGGTAGAGTTAGGGTTCGGGGTGGGGTGGGCTTAGGGTTAGGGGTAGGGTTAGTGAACTGCCGAAGTCCCAAATTTCCAAAGTCCTGAATTGCCGAAGTCCAGAATTTTGGAAGTGCCGAACCAAAGAGCCGAAGTGCCAGATTGCTGAAGTCCCGAATTTCAGAAGTGCTGAACCGAACCGAAGTGCCCGAATTTCCTGAAGTCATGAATTTCGGAAATCCAAACCGAACCAAATTTTTTGTCCATGCACATCCCTCGAATAAAATATATTTACTGTGCTGGTAAAATCTGCAAGCTTTTTGATCTTCAAATTAGAACAAATCTTGATAAAGAACTATTTACATATATAAATGAATCACCTTTAGATAAGCTTCTACTTGGAGATCATGGAAAGATACCTTCTAAGATTAAGAAAGCTATATATACCCTAAATCAAAATATGAAAATAAAAACTATTAAAGATTAGGAAAAGGACATGGGTAAAACGTTCTCTTTCCAGACATGGCAAAATTATTTTAAAATGATTGTGAAATCTATCCATTGCATGAATATACAGGAGACCTTTTTTAAATTTGTACACATATTGTATGTGACTCCTATAAAACTTTGTAAATTTCAACCAAATACTTCTATTCTTTGTTGGAGATGTAATAGAAATGTTGGTACACTAAAACATATATGGTGGGACTGTCTGATACTAAATAATTTCAAAAATCTTCATAGACTTATCGATATTACTTTAACTTTAGAGCAATTTCTTTTTCATTTTGATCTTTCGTGTCTATCTAAATCATTAGAATATCTGGTTATTCATATTCTAATGGCAGTGAAACGATGTATGGCTAGATATTGGAGAAAAGAGGAATTTTCCATCATAGAAGATTAATTACCAAGGGGTAATGGAAAAAGCAGTGTATTATGATGATGGTAATATAACGACATACAATAAGTTCTGGGATGTTGGTTTACCTATTCGAAAGAGTGAATTCTGTCCCCAAATCATATTTTACCTGACATTGATATGTATTATAACTTGTGGTTTCGTCCTACAGGTTGGTCCCCAATAGGAAATGTATGTTTTGAAATAATCCTTATTATAAATTAATGTTTTTAGGATTAGACTAGGAGAGTCCTCCCTGCCCCCCCTTAGGTGTCTCAGTTGTTTTGTGGTGTATTTGTTTGATGTATTTTTTCATATGTTTTTAATATGTTATTTATGCATCATTGTTTGTTTCTCTTTGAAGAATATAATATATAATATTTAATTGTTGTTTTATTATTTCTTCTGCAGAACAATAATATTTTAAGTATGTGTAACATTACATAAACCATGTTATTTATTGCATGTGTAAACAAACACTTAAACTATGAATAATGAACTTAATTATATCTATATTGATTATATATTGATTATATGCATACTTATATGTCTAAAAAAACAAATAAAAATGTTAAAGGTAAAAAAAAAGAAAAGGGCTTTAATACTATCACTGCCACCCATGACTTTTATGGATTTTTAGGCATAATGTGGTCTTACACTTGGTCTTAGACTATGTTTTAGGTGGGGCATAGCCACATGTACATGGGGACCCTAATTCAATGGTAAATCATTCAAAACCAGCTTAACACTGAACCATGGAATGAGTTATGCATGAGGACTTCCAGCATCACCGAAATCCCCATAGGAAAGCATTCATTAATACTTTCCTATGAGGAAATCCAAATGCGAGTGCGGCCATTGCTGCGCATGCTCAATAGGTCTCCCCCTCCAGCTGACGTCGGCAAGGAGGAGCATGGGCGGAGTTGGACCCAGGGCCGGGGGACATCAGCGCTGGATTCAGGTAAGTGACTGAAGAAGTAGAAAACCATTGTACCAGGAAAACAACTATTTTTATCTGGCACTATAGAATCCCTTTAATCTGCCCCCTCACCTAAAGATCAGTTTTACTGCAAACTATTTCACACCACCATTTAACTTAAAGGGATACTTCAGGCATTAAAACAAACTGTAGCTTAATGAAGCAGTTTTATTGTATAGCTCATGTCTCTGCAGTCTTACTACTCAATCCTTTGCCATTTAGGAGTTAAATCACTTTTATTTCTGTTTATGCAGTCCTAGTCACAAACACCCTGGAAAAAAATGGTTTAATTTTCAATCTTAAATTTAAAGTTTTTCTCCTTAATTCCTAAATGGCAGAGAATTGAGCAGTGAGACTGCACTATATACACCAAAACTGCTTCATTAAAGGACCACTATAGGCAGCTTAATGAAGTGGTCTGGGTGCCAGGTCCATCTAGGATTAACCCTTTTTTTTTAATAAACATAGCAGAAGCAGAGAAACTGCTATGTTTATAATATGGTTAATCCAGCCTCTAGTGGCTGTCTCTTGACAGCCGCTAGAGGCACTTGCGTGCTTCTCAGAGGCACTTGCGTGCTTCTCACTGTGAAAATCACAGTGAGAAGACGCCAGTGTCCATAGGAAAGCATTGTAAATGCTTTCCTATGAACTGGCTGAATGCGCGCGTGGCTCCTGCCGCGCATGCACATTCAGCCGATGACGTCGCTATAGAGGAGGAGAGGAGGAGGAGAGCTCTGCGCCCGGCGCTGGAGAAAGGTAAGATTTTAACCCCTTCCTCTCCCCAGAGCCTGGCGAAAGGGGGACCCTGAGGGTGGGGGCACCCTCAGGGCACTATAGTACGAGTATGTTTTCCTGGCACTATAGTGGTCCTTTAAGCTGGAGTTGTTTTTCTACCTATAGTATCCCTTTAAATTACTAGGCTATACTGCTAGATCTATGTGAAATCACCTTCGACAGGTTTCTTGAGTGCACTTTTGACAGTATGTCTAATTACATAATTTTCTGTCAGGAAAAATATATCTGTAATTAATTTCAACATTTTTCAATATCTTTTATTTATATTTATTTTTTTCAAGAAATGAAATTAGCAGACGTCATATCTTAAACATTTCCAAGAGAAATCAGGATAATTGTTTTACTTTATCTTGCATACATACTCAACAATATTATACTGGAACATATGCAAAGATTGTTGTTGACCTATATGCTGAATACACAAATGAAATCACGTCTATCGTGTGGTACAAGGTAGGTAAAATGTTCATCTTAAATGTCTTCTGTTAAAATTTGACTAGGCCGAAAGTGCATGTAATGTTAGTGTGGTTGTTCTGCAATTGGATACTGTGCACAACTAGTACATATTTTTAAGCTATGGGAATGATGTAATATCTTCAGTAAATATGAGATAATTGTACAAATCTTTAAATAATATGTGGATACATGTGGGAAAGCAGATGCAAACTCGTGTAGTTAAAGAGGAAATATTTCAATGTTAAACACCACACAGGGTTAATCACTGCAGTGAGGATTACCAGAAATTCATAGTGAACACAAACCAGATTATTCACTAAAGTGAGGATTTAAAGTGAATTTCTAATTTAAGGTCAAAATAGCCAATGTCAACAAGGTTAAATAGAGTCCTGGAATTAGGTACCTGTGATAAGGAGGGGTGCAACACCAGGGAGTTGGCCTGGACTCCCAAATATATAAAAAATACATATAAAACCAGGAAGGCTGCACTCACCTGAACATGCATTCATAGAATATAGAAGAACATAGAAGATTCAGCACACTCACTCTCTAAACACCAGTTCACAAAATGTAATAGTTTTTTTTTTTTTTTTAAACACCTGATATAGACACATAAATGAGGATTTGGTTACAGCATATAATCATGCATTGCATAAGCCTGCAATAATGCCAATGTACCCCATTCTTGGCAGGGCATACTCAACCTAATGCCTGCTCTTATTAGATAAACCTACATACTGTTGACATTATTCATCTTGGGACTCTCTGCAGGTCAAGGTTAAAAAGGCCCCTTGAATAAGGCATCTGTGACAGAGAGGGGTATAAAAGCAAGGGAGTTATTCTCCTTGGTTGGGGATTTCTATATGCTCTGCCAAGAGGAGTGTTGTAGAGGGACTGAATAAAGTCCTGACAGAAAAATGTGTTTCTCTGTACTGTAAAAACACGGGCGAAAATGGAAAGTTGGGTTTTATTAACAGAATTTATTTTGCTTTTAAGAACAAAATAAAAAAAAATTGTATAAACCATTGCACAAACTTTGTTTGTAGGGAAGGGATTAAAAGGCAAGATTAGTTTTTTTTTCTGAAAAAGGACATATTCATTGTGGAGGACGCCATCAGGGCGTTAAAGCCTATAATCTAGTCTGATGTTGCATGCTTCACATCCAACAGGCTGAGTTTCTAAATGTATTTTTGTTTAAATTGAAGCTATTGTGTTAGGAATACTAAGTTGTATTCCAAACACTATGGTGCCCTCTGATCTCCCCCTTCCCGTGCCCCCCTGACACATATTGGTTAAAAAATCCTTTATTTACTCACCAAATTCCAGCACCAACCACCCTTGATGCCTGGTCGGCGCTCAGCCTCCTCCAACGTCATCCGATGGTGGCACCTAATGGGCATGTGCAGTGAGTTCTGCTTAGGCCTTCCCTATAGGAGAGCATTGAATCAATGGGAATCAAATATCATGGGAATAAATTCTGGTGATTTCACTGACACTGGAAATCACCAGAATGAGGACATCCAGCCTCGTTTAAGGGACTCCGAGTCTGTCTCTAGTGGGGACTTAGAAGTGTCTCTAGTGGATGTCTGGTAGACAGACCCTAGAGGCAGTATTAGTACTGAAATGTAAACATTGCAGTTTCTCAGCAACTGCAATGTTCTACATTGCGCGACTAATGGGGACAGGGACATTGCGTCTAGACTATTTTAATCAGCTGATGTGGTCTGTATGCCTATAGTGTCCCTTTAATTCAAATTCTTATTTTAAAGATTGATATGTACTACATAAATTGCACAATGCATGTTAACTTTAAAGTGCATATTTTGTAGCTAACCAATGCAGTAATATTGCATTTATTTAATGATGCTAGAAAGAACAAAACAGAAAAAGTGGTAAATAAATATTAGCATATAATTATTAATTAATCTACGTTTCCTGGTTCACGGGCATTGTGAAAACGAATACATATCCATTCAATTGTAGGACTGTGAATGGTATGCTGAGGGGGTCGATGTGATTTCATTTGATTCCATACAGCAGTCAGATGCAGGAGAATATGCATTTGTCATTACACAAACACACAATGGACTAAGTTATAGCAGCTCAAGAAGAACAAAGTTAGTGGTAAAAGGTGAGTAATGTTTTCAACATAGAAAAAAAAAGGCTGAAAGCTAATTCTTTTGTCTTTTCACACTGTTTACACTTTTATTTCTTGTATATTATAGCTCAGAATTCAGAGTTCATGTCTCATTTTACCCAACAACAGCAGTGGAAATGAAACTTTGCCATCACGTAATACCTGCCGACAAATAAAATATCTAATTTTTTTGTTGTTTTGCAATTAAATATAGAAGGAAGTAAGATTGTTTGTTGAGTTTCAGTACAATTGTGTTTCAGTACAGTTATGTAACATATTTGCATTTGAGGACACTACACAGTCATTAGTGTCATAAACCACAAGAATTGAAATTATCAATGAATAAGGACTTTATTAAAATTGCAAACCTAGAAGAAAAGGTTTCAACCACGAGAATGAAAGTATGTTACTTTCACTTTTTGTGATAAATAAAATCCTCTGAAAACTGTTTCTGAAACAAAAGTTACATGTCTGTCATGAGAGCATATTCCACTATACACAGCTGCCTACAAAACATAGTGCTTTAAGTATAGTACCTTTTGAATCACTATGATATATTTTCATTTATTCAGTTAATTTGTGGTTTTTATAAGATTTGTTACTTTCTGTGTTGGGTGAACATTATTATTTATAGAAATTTTAAGACATCGCCACTCACAAAGGCCTTGATATAATATTTTTTTTTTATTAATTATTTACTATTTTAATAATTTTGTAATATTTTTGATATGTTGATATATGTTTGATAGATGATATATTTTTGATATTTAATATTTTAAAAAATATATTTTACCAGTTTAGCCAAAAATATGGCATAATTTCAAAAGCTTATGCAAAAATATTAAATCAAGACCAAAATGGCTATTATACACAAGATGATGCCATGCTTCTATAGAAATTAAAAATATTATATTGGAATTCAAAGGTAGTTATTCCCTTGCATAAACTCTTTCAAAAAAAGATTATTTTGTAATCTTGTCAGGTTATGAATTAAATGCATATTAGCTTGTGCAATGGTTCCAAAACCAGTCCTCCTGGCCCACCACCAATCCAGAATTTCTGTATTTTCTTTTTAATTCCAATGGAGATAATGACAAAACCTAGACTGTTGGAGGGCCTTGTGGACTGGTTTGGGTACCACTGGTCTAGTATAAACTTTCTGAACACTGTGCAGTCTATCCTAATTCTTCAAGCATATGAGTAAAGTTTGTTAATATTGCTTGACTAGTAGAAGAAAACATTTTTAACATGTTAAAAATGATCAAGAGTGTTATATATAACGTTTTAAACAAACAAACAAATAAATACATATTACTTATCTCAAATTGTCAGGTTCACCTAGGGTTAGTGGTAAAGCACTTTCTAGTGCCTAAGCATAGATAGGATTTGCTATTTTGTAGTATTTTTACAGAAATCTAAAATTCTAGATTATTTAACCCTATGACATATTTGAAAGGAACATTGCTTTATAATGATTAACTGTATTGATTTAATTGGTTTATTTCATTGCTTTTAGATAAAGGAGAAATAGTAAGACCAACGATTACTGGTGATAAAAATGTCACTGCAGTTATAGAACTAGGTATGTATGTGTGTATTTATTAAAACTCTGGCAATTTGTGTCTAACAAATACTGTAATAGAAATCAAACATTGATTATTTGGCTTTAACCAACTATTGACCTAAATATCAACAGAGTGCAAATATGGTAAGGAAGGGAATAAACATTGCATGGATTACACGTTTTGAGGATATGTTTAAATTATATATATGTGTGTGTTTGTACAAATGCAAATATAGGCCTCACTTGAACCCCTTAACAACCAATGACAGTTCAGGACCTTCATCGGAAACATCCCCTTGAGGACCGATGACGGTCCTGAACCGTCATAATGGTCTGGGGGTACTTACCTGATCGCCGTCGTTCCCCCGGCGGCGATCAGCGTTCCTCCCGGTCCAAGGAGATTGCCTGTCTGCCCAGACAGTCTCCCCGTGGCAGATCAGGACCCCGCGGCCGAGTGATCGCTCGATCACATGACCGCAATAGGTGTCTGTGTATCTGCCTGCAGGGGGACTGTCTGTGCTGACAGGCAGTCTCCCTGCAAGTGAAAAATCCTAAAATAAAGTTAAATAAAATCAATTAGTGTAAAAAAAATAATAATATATGTATATATATAAGATCTATATACATGTATTATATCTATATATAATATATGTATATTTATCATATATAATGTCATGCTAAGTGTATTTTTATATTTATATATACATATATTAATATAAAATACACGTATAATTAAATTACACACATGTATATATATAATATATATAATAACTATATATATTGTATATATATATTATTATAAAATATAACTAATAAGTAAATAAAAATAAATGAAAAAATTTTTAAATGATTTTTAATAATTATAAAAAAATTATATATATATATATATATATATGTAATTTTATTCTACCGTTATTTTGATATTAATATATATATTTATATCAAAATATACTTAGAATGAAATGATATATATATATACATATATATATATGTATAAATAAATAAAAATAATACGAAATATACATATGGCCATATACATAATTACATAAATAATTTCATAAATATACACGTAGACTTCAAATATATAAATGTGTATATATATTTAAATTCTACGTGCATATTTATGTAATATTTTTACATAATTAAGTAATTTTATTGATTGCAATTTGACGGACATGCCTGACAACCCAGGCCGAAAGTCCAGAGAATTTAATTTGCTAGCACTGTGTTTTACCCTGTAACTTTCTATGACACCCTAAAACCTGTACATGGGGGGTACTGTTTTACTCAGGAGACTTTGCTGAACACAAATATTAGTCTTTCAAAACAATAAAACATATCACAGCGATGATATTGTCAGTGAAGGTGAAGTTGTTTGCATTTTTCACATACAAGCGTCACTTTCACTGATGATATTAATGCTGTGATACATTTTACTGTTCTGAAACACTAATATTTGTGTTCAGCGGATTCTCCCGAGTATAACAGTACCCCACATGTAGAGGTTTTATAGTGTTTTTTAAAGTTAAGGCTTGATTTTACTTTTTTTTTCATTGAAATTTGTCAGATTGGTGATGTTGCCTTTGAGAGCGTATGGTAGCCCAGGAATGAAAATTACCCGCATGATGGCATACCATTTGCAAAAGAAGACAACCCAAGGTATTGCAAATGGGGTATGTTCAGCCTTTTTTAGTAGCCACTTAGTCACAAACACTGGCCAAGTTTAGCATTTCTTGCATTTTTAACACGCAAACAAATATAAATACTAACTTTGGCCAGTGTTTGTGACTAAGTGGCTACTAAAAAAGATTGGACATACCCCATATTGAATACCCTGGGTTGTCTACTTTAAAAAAAAATATGTACATGTGGGGTGTGATTCAGAGATTTATGACAGATAATAGTGTTGCCATGTCACTATTGATACATTTAAAATATATATATATTGAAACAGCAATTTCCTACTTGTACTTATAGCCATATAACTTGCAAAAAAAGCAAAAAAGCACATAAACACTGGGTGTTTTTAAACTCTGGAAAAAATGTTGAATCTATTTAGCAGTTTTTAAAATATATGACATGATAGAAATAATGGTATGTAAAGAAAGCCCTTCTTGTCCTGAAAAAAACAATATAGAACTTGTATGGGAACAGTAAATAAGAGAGCGGAAAAATTACAGCTAAACACAAACACCACAAAAGTGTTAAAACCGCTCTGGTCCTTAACGTACAACATCACAAAAACAGGCTGGTCCTTAAGGGGTTAATAAACTTTACAAATGATTACAAACTTTCCATATTGATTATCTAGAGAAGTAAGCATTAAAGGGATGGAAATTGCTGTAGGTAAATAATTTGGAAAGTTTTTCTAACACTATTGAATCATTTAGAAGGTTATTAAATCAATGCCATAGTTAGTGCAAATATACACCTGCACACGAGGTCACGCATTTAGGCTGGAAGAAAGGAGATTTCATCTAAGGCAAAGGAAAGGTTTTTTTTTTACAGTAAGAACAATAATGATATGGAATTATCTGCCTGAAGAGGTGGTTTTATCAGACTCCATACAGATGTTTGCAAAATTGGAAGCGCTTCAGACTAGGTTTTTTGCCTTCTTTTGGATCAACAGCAAAAACATATGTGAGGAAGGCTGAACTTGATGGATGCAAGTTTCTATTCAGCTATGTAACTATGTAGCTATGTAACTATGTAATATATAATATATAAAGCCCGTCTCGTCCACTCATCCGTTTTCCTGGCACTATAGTGCACTGAGGGTGCCCCCACCCTCAAGGACCCACTCCCGCCTGGCTCTGGGGAGAGGAAAGGGGATAAACTTACCTTTTTTCCAGCGCCGGGCGGAGAGCTCTCCTCCTCCTCTCCGCCTCCGATCCTCCCTTTCGGTTGAATGCGCACGCGCGGCAAGAGCTGCGTGCACATTCAGCCGGTCTCATAGGAAAGCATTTACAATCCTATGGACGCTTGCGTGTTCTCACTGTGATTCAATGAGACAGCCACTAGAGGATTTGGAGGCTGGATTAACCCATTTATAAACATAGCAGTTTCTCTGAAACTGCTATGTTTATAAAAAAAAAAAAGGGTTAATCCTAGCTGGACCAGGCACCCAGACCACTTCATTAAGCTGAAGTGGTCTGGGTGCCTAGAGTGGTCCTTTAAGCGGGATGGTGGGAGAGGACCCAGAAATTGGAACTGTCCCAGTGAAAGCAAGACATTTTGGAGGCATTCTTAGTTGCTGAAGTGTGAATGGTTAGGAATTCAGAGTGAATTTTAACTTTGAGCTAAACTTAATACAAAGCTACATCAATTTACTTGGTTATAATACTTTGCATGTATCCTATTTAATGCCATATTTAAATATGGAGAATTAAAATATTCTCTTACGCAAAAACAAATAGAGTTATTAATGGTAATATTATGCTTGTCTTTTTATATTTTATGTACTTTAATATATGTACTGCTGAAATATAAAATATTTGTATTTTTCTACCAGCAAAAGACTGATGTTAATGTTTTGTTCCATGCTCTACATAGGAGAAGATTTCACAGTTGAATGTGAAGCTTTTTATGGCCATAGCAACAATACCGATGCTATTTTGTACTGGCTTCAAGCCAATAAGAATTACAGACTAAATAGCGACGAAGAAAAGTTTGTATTTGTAGATACATGTGGAAGTGTCATAAACACAACGTGCAGCACAGAAACATCAGAAAAGTAAGTAATGGGAATTTTATATGTATCCACCTCTATGAATTACAATTCCGTTTATATTTATAGGCAATATCTAGTTTAAGGAATTATCCCGAAAGTGGAATAACTATGTTGAATAGCACTGTTACTAAATTAGGTTTCAGATTAATAGCGTGACACTTAAAGGAACATGCCAAACACCCAAAGCACTTCAGCTTGATGAAGGGTTTTCGGTTTGAAGTGTGGCTTAATTTTACAAAAAGTGCAGATTTTGATACATTCTACTTTTTACACCTCCCTGTCAAACAGACAACACATCCATTTACTTTCTGGTAGGTTAAAATGAAGAGGCAACAACTGCCCAAAGTACCTGCCTTGCAATGCCTTCTCATTGAGCTGTATTGGGATGTCTGTAATTGCAAGCACTCTCCTTCCTCAGCAAGTCTGGGCTGGGGAAGGAGAGTGCCTGCAAATGCTGTAGATAAGAGGTCTGCAGCTTTTGCAAGCTGTTGTTATATATATACCCCTGATTAAAAATTGTATTGCGAAACATACATGTTTTCATTGGGGCAAATATCTACTAGATTGTTAAAAATAAATCTCTCTCTCTCTCTCTCTCTCTCTCTCTCTCTCTCTCTATATATATATATATATATATATATAAATATAATGTTAAAAATGTATATTTTACTTTTGGAGTGTTAATTGCTTCATGTACTTTTAAAACCGCCAGACACACATGCATTATGTTTTATGGTATTACATCTATTTTTACAAATTACTATATCAATAAAAAAAATAATAATAATGAAATCCCTCATGAATAAGTAAATAAATAAATTAGTAATACAATTTTTACACACATTTCCTACTAAAATATGGCAGAAATCTATACACAGGAAAAAAAAAAGAAATTCAACATACAAAACAGGCAAATTAACTCTCTAAAAGGCAGTATATCACAGCTTTGTATTTTTGTATTTTTTAATTTAAATGTTTGAAATTTACATTTTTAGATTTAAAAGAAAAAGATTTTTGCTTTTTTAATGTCTACATATAGCTCAAACTGAGTAGGGATGGTGGTAATGGCAAGTGTAGCTCCTTTATACGTTTACCGTATATACTCGTGTATAAGTCGATCTCATGTATAAGTCGAGTGCAGTTTTGTGACCAATAATTGTGAAATATGCTATGCCTCGTGGATAAGTCGAGGGTAAAACTTGGGGCTATGAAATTCTGTGATTTTTATAATTATATACACACACACTCATACAAGCACACACTCTGCATTATACACACACACACTCATACAAACACACACTCTGCATTATACACACACACACACACTCTGCATTATACACACACACACACTCATACAAACACACACTCTGCATTATACACACACACTCATACAAACACACACTCTGCATTATATATGCACACACTCTGTGTGTATATAATGCAGAGTGTGTGTGTTTGTGTGAATGCAGAGTGTGTGTGTGTATATATAATGCAGAGTGTGTGTTTGTATGAGTGTGTGTGTATAATGCAGATTGTTTGTATGAGTGTGTGTGTTTGTCTGAGTGTGTGTGCGTAAATATTTTAGTATTATTTTTAATTTTATTATTTAATTTTTTAATTTTAATATTTTAATTGTAATTTTATTTTTGTCCCTCCTCCTTGCTTGTTAGCTGGCCAGGGAGGGGGGGAGCTCTCATTCCCTGGTGGTCCAGTGGATGGGCTGTGTAGGAGGGGGGCTGGCATCGAGCTGTAACTTACCTTTCCTGCAGCTCCTGTCAGCTCCCTTCTCCTCCAGTTTTCACACAAAATATATCTACAAGAAATAATGAACAAAAGCCAAATAGTGTAATACGGCAACTACATTTAGTTCTGGAATTCTCATGGTTAAGCTCACAAAAATCGGTGTAATTGAAGGCTCATCATGTTTAGAAGTAGAGAATTCATCTCTGGAAAATCTCCTGGACAAGAATGTAAGGAGTTAAAAGGCCCAACATTTATCACAAGGAGCCAATAGTAAAATGCAGCTGCAACTTAATAGATCTTATTTTTCTTAAGATAAATATGTATCAGGGGTACACAAATAGACACAAAGGATAAAAACAAATAATGCAAACAGTGGGGCACAATACGTGTTCCATCTTATCACTAAGACTTGCTCAGGGGCATCAAGGTGCTGTATAGTGCAGGACAAACACACTAATTGTTTATATACCTTAGTAACTTCACTGAAGGGTCGCCATCAGCCAGTCCCATAGGGTTCTGCAATGGTCACTGTTTTAAACACTGATTTTTTTTTATTTTTTTTTATCCAAAGCATAAGCTATGATTGAAAAGGATCAGTGACCAGAAACCGGCCAAGGACTGCAGGTTCAACTGTCTGGGTCTTATGATCATGGCACCAGCTCTGATGTGGTAGTTGAAGTCTCTCTGAGTGCATATAGCTAGATAGCAAAAATATAGTGGTAAGGTCAAACACGAGACATGTCCCACAGTATAAATACAAAAATTACTATGCAGTGTACATAGCGTGGGTGTTACATCAGTTTGGCCTCACCACAATCTTTTGTGGCTTGTTTCTAGTCAACCAATTCTTTTGAATCATAGCTCACACATTGTTAAAAAAAAAAAAAAAAAAAAACTACTGTGTTTTAAACATTGTCCTTTGCTAAGGGTATCTGCCGAAATAAAGTATGATATCTGAAGCATGATTTCCATCTTTGCTTATTTGAATGCCAAGATGGAACTCTGGGATCGTTGGGGAAACATGCTTTCTCAAGTTCATGTGCCCAAAAAGTGTCTAACTTGAGATATACAGGTGACACATAACTGTATTTTTAAAATGTATTTATTTTTGTATTTGTACTGAGGGAGTACATATATTGTTGTTACTTTCTTCAGGTTTCATCCACACTTTTGCACCACCACAACTCTTTTTTTGGTATGTATGTATATATATATATGTATATATATATGTGTATATATATATTTATATATATATATATATATGTGTGTGTGTGTATCTCTATCTTTCTCTCTCTCTTTCTCTCTCTCTATCTCTCTCTATCTCTATCTCTCTCGGGCAAAAGTGTGTATGAAAACCCCTTCCACCTGAAGTAAGTAACACAAATGTGGTTCTTTGTTGAGCTCATTTGCATGCACCTACCCAGAATTCCTTGCAGAAGTGAGCGCACTGTTAAAGTGAGAAAAGTAAGTCTTATGGCTTGACTGGTATGTGTATTTGTGTTTAGCAATGTATTAAATATATATATATTTCTAAAAATGTTTATTTATTCTTTGCTTGGGTACTTTGCGCTGTTAATGTGTTTTATATGTATGTGTTGAATAAATAATGAATCTGTAAATAATTATTCACTGTGATTAAGTATTAATTCAAATTGTTCTATGTACAATAATGTATAGGTATAAGAATAATAAAGTGTTTGGTACAACAGAATTACACCTAAGAAGCATAGACAAAGACAATATTAAATATCCATATAAATGCCAACTGGTTAGCAACTCTGTTTTGGACATCAAGTCTGTTACTCTGACAGTTAAAGGTAGGATGAAATGTTAGTTTATGTTGTTCGTGTTCTAAAAACTAAGACCTTAAAATATTCAGATTTTTCATACTGTTCTATAATTCATTCTATTGTAATTAGGTTGAAGTGGATAACAGTAGGGTATAAAAAAGAAGCAAATAATAAATTTCAATCTGCAAGTTATCCACTACTGCACAATGTATCAAATAGTTGGGTGTCATTGTAATATCAAGCCAAATAAAGACATGTGACCCACATGAAAGCCTCACCTTTTATCATGCATAAACCGAAAGAGCTTAAAAGGACAATCCACTGCCCAAATAAAAAAATGTTAAAAATATTTTGTAGATATACCTACAATAAAAACATGCATGCATGCATTTGATTGTGCATTTTTTCATTAGAGTATATCTAAAAACAGCATGAAAAAGCTGCAGGTATCTTGTCTGCAACCTTTGCGAGCCATCCCTTCATCCTCAGCCCAGACTTTCTGTGGCTGTCCAATCACAGACTTCCCAGTGCAGCTCAATGAGAAGTCTTTGCAAAGCAGGAGAAATACAAGAGTTAGTGAGAATGAACCTGATGAAAGAATTACACCGAAACGTGTGTCGGGTGTTTGTTTGGGGTGCTTTTAGGGCTCTTGTCACCATGCACAATGGGATGTCTATTTTATATATAGACATTTTGCACTCTCACTGACTCTTGTATTTCACTCTGTTTATTTGACTTCTCTACCTATCTAGTTAGTTTACTAGGGAGAGAGGCTTTTGACTATATCAGTCTTGCTTTCTTACTACTTAGACATCTATTATATCATTATCCTATAACTGCCTCTCGATACATTTGATACATATGGACACGCAGAGATTTCCTACTGAGTGGTGTAATGATTTTTCCTTTGTATGAACAGACTAAGAATACGGATTCACTCTTAGTCAATTATTCCTGAGACATGTTGATATAGGTTTATCCTTTCTGTACTGTTTTTTCCTTTCATAAATATCTTAACTAGATCATTCTTTTAAAGGGGTGCAACGTGTGCTATAAATAAGCCTATTTAATAAAGCTTGTATGTATAAAATTTTAAGCACTTTTTTGGATAATCCAAGAAGTTACCTTTATTTTATACGGCTAGTATTTTTCACATTTGCTCTTGAGACATATGTGTCTGTGATTAAATATATAGTGCATTCTGAGTCGATCGTGATTTTATTTATTCCAAGATACTATTTACACCTTTCCAGGTCACACTCGTCCAGTATTTGTGGTTCAAGAGTGTTCTTTTTTATTATTGTCACTTACTACAGGGTTAGTCCCAAATTCTGGAGTTTAACTGCAATATTTTAATACATAATTGTTTAATGGATGGGCATCCTTTCCAGCAGAGACCTGAAACTGAGCGTCCATTAAACAATTATGTATTAAAATATTGCAGTTAAACTCTAGAATTTGGCAGGCAGACATACCCATGAACCCATGGATTTGGTAACTATCCAAACCTCATGGAGAATAAACCAGAGCACAGAATAAGCTGGTAGCAAGAATAGATTTAGCCACCAGGAGGGCAAGCGCACAGTGGGGTAATGCCAACACACCTTTAATGGAAGCCATATTGTGTAGAGTTAAATGAACCAGTGGAGATAGACCGACTCTCAGGTTTAATCCAGCTTTAAGACCATTGACTTCTAGAATACCAGAGTCACAAATACATTAACATGTTCAGTGAACAATGGAAAGCCTCCTCATTTCACTTTTTGCCTTTCATATATCTATAGGATATAATTATATATATTTAGTCACAAACTCCACCTTTGAATTTTTACCTTCTTTCGTTCTCTCTTTTTTTCTCTCTTTCTTCTCTGATGTAAATTATCCTTGTTTTGAAGTTATAGACAACAAACACACACCAAATTGCCACACTCCAGGCAATTCATAACACTTTGGCAAAACCAGTGCACCATCATATGTGAACTGTTGCCGTAAATCACATAAACTAACTAATTTTTACTTTTATTTTTGCAACCTTATATGGAGAAGCTGTACATGATACAGTTCATCATTCAAAGTAGCAAAACCACAAACTGGAGGATTCCCCCTCCTTCTAACACACACTTTGTTCAAGTAAAATTTGGTGATGTCCATAAATGTTCTGCTGTGTGACACATCTTTCTCTATTGATATTGTTTTAAATCCAAGTTCTTACATTTTATGTAACACTAGTGTCATAAATGTGTCCTAATGACGATTTTGTCTAATATACCCCTTGTGATTGTATTGTTTATAATTTCGTGACGAAAATACAGAAATAAAGAATGAAAACAAAATTAAAATGAGAAAATGAAAGTAGGAGTAGAGCATTATGCACAAAGGTCATAATTTGAGTCTTCTTGAGAAAATTAGCAGGAAACTAGATTGACCAATTGCTTCTAACCAGCTTTCACACTTTATGGTCACGTACGTCATTAGATGACTAATCTACACATATAACACTGGAATATCCATGCAATATATATGGCTCAATTTTGATCTTTATAAACTATATGAACTCCATATCTATTACTCATTACCCTTGATGTATTTGAGCAATGTTCTGTTCTCGGTTTCATAACTCTGTTTCATAAACTAAGTTGTTTTGCAATATATTTTGCAAAGAGTTGTAAATACATTCTTGCTACTTGACAGATGAGAATTAGATCATTCATTCAATATTCAGATTTGTTTCTAGTTTTTTTGCTACAAAGTCAAAGTCAGTCCTAATTACACTGAACATTGTTAGATTTATTATTACTAAAAAGAAACTAAAATACTATATTTATTGTATCTATGTAAAAATAATGGGATCTATTCCAGTCTAACTTTTCAAATGCCTTTGAGAAAATTGGTTGTTAAATAAAAGCTAGGTAAAGTCTTTTCAAGACAAAAAAATTGAACGTGGGTTCAAGCATTCTATGCTACAAACAGATAAATCAGAAAACAATAATAATAAAGAAAAATTACTTTGCAAGCGAACCACTATTAAAACATATAGAGTAGTTTCTTAGTTTTTCTTTCTACCCTGTCCTACGGTTCATGGTCATTAAGATTACAATAAAAGCTTAGTAGGTCAGTTATCCACAGACATCCAGTTTGGAGCCAGGTCAGTTCTTTAGAGTAAGGTTCAACAGACGATCCCAGGATTAAAAAATGCTGTTGTCAGTACTGACCTCTAGCAATCGATGTAACTTGCTTCTCCTCTGCTGCTTACTTTCCCCTTTATCTCTCTCTCCCTCTCTCTGTGCACTCTCCGTTGAAATTTATTTGAAAATAAAATCCCATCTCTCAGTCCCTTGGTGGTGCCCACCCACTTGGCCATCTGTATTATGTTCTGGACCCAATTCAAGTACAGAATATTTTTTCCTTGGGTGCTGGTGATAGGCTAAGAGTATCAGTTAACACTCTCAGCCTATCACTGGCCACCCACTGAAAGAAATGGTTTAGAAAGGCATGTACCTGCCAGAGAAGGAACCGAGGGCCTGAGTGGGTGTGTGTTTGAAGAGCAGTCTGTGCTATAAACACCTATTAAAGTATGGAGCAGCACTTGCCATTCTGCTGGTATTGTCTCTTCCAAATTCTAAGGTCCTATTCCAGTTTACAAAAGGTTATTTACTGAAGTTAGAATTCAAAGTAAATTCCTAGTGAATTTCAAATTTAAGGCCAGAACAGCCAATCTGAAAGCGTGACTTAGAGCATTTTTCTATTTTGCCTTATTTGGCCTTAAATTTGAAATTAACTTTACATTCTCACATTAGTAAATACTTTTGTTGAACAATGTTCATTAAAACAAAAGATTAACAGTAACATTCAGTCCACTTATGCTTGGATTTTCAGTAATATGTTACATTTAATCACATCAGTTGGACCATAAACCTCTACTGTTAGTATGAATCTTTAACTTATAATATAGACAATATTTAAGCATAAAATATAGAATGAAAGTGTGCAACATTCATGAATTGCTATTTTTTTTACATTCAGACAAAGGCAAAGATATTTCTCATCCCTTCTTTACAACATTCCTGGCGGCGTCCATCACCTGTTCAGTCTGCATTGTTAGTCTTGTAATTTTGTGCATTATATTTAGAATTGAAATGGTTTTGCTATATCGGAGTGTGACAAGAAAGGATGATACCATTGGAGGTGAGTGTTTTATCTCCACTTTGCTATTCTCTACTGCCTTTTAATGTATCCATTAAACAATATTAGCAGGTTTACTTAAATGTGTTAATTGCTTATAAACTCAACATATATATTTTAACACATATAATAATAACAATCGTATAGCTGTGCAACAGAGCAAAGTTACACATAAGTGCAATGAATGAATGATTAGTAGGTAAAGAAAGTAGGTGTAAGTTAAGTACAAAAGAATTAACTTATAAGTTAGTTGAGTTATATTCAGGATATTCTTGGGAAATACGCCTCTAAATTATTTTTTTACTATGTCTATAATTTAGACTACATACGAATAATAGTTGTTTAAAATGTAATAAAGTAATACATATTTCATAAAGACAAATAATGTGATTTAGAAAAAAATAAAAAAATAAAGACAGAAGATTGAAACAAGAAAGGAGATAGTTAACAAAAGAGAAATAAAGAGCGATATAAGAATGGAAATAAATAAATGATGTTAATAGTAGAATGTGCCTTTATGAGAGATGCACACAACTTAGACATAATAAAGCATGATACCTATCTATAATATTTCTAAAATAAAAAAAGTATAAAAAACAAAGTTACACATAAGTTAACATACAGTAAAATATTTTTTATGTTTAGCAAGTAGAAAAACAGGAAGTACGCAAAAGCTGCAGATAAATGATACGAGCAGCAAATAAGCCTGGCCGAGGTGGTAATAATAGATATTAGAAATTGTTGAATGTTGAACATGACTGACAAGTATAATTGACTTTTATTTATTGCAATTTTTTTTAGCAATTTTGAGCAATTGTTAAAGAAAAACAATTGGCATTAATATCATAAAACTAGAAATATTTTGGAATAAAACCTTACCGAATTTCCGGTATGAAGCTAAAACTTTATATAACCCTAACAAAATCAAAAGAGCAAAACTTGTGTGTTGTTTATTGTGTGTCTGAAAATCAGAACAGAATGAAACAGCCAATAACTGAAAGTGCTGAGGAAGGAGTCTACTGCACTTCTATGGTTTACATGATTACTAATTTTTAATTTTGCTATGTAAGCAGTTTATGTTACCGAAAGAAATAACACCATTTTTTTCAAATCACAGTTAAACACTATCAGAGAGCAATCTCGAACAATCCTGCAGCTATTATACTTCAGGCACAATCACATTCACCTAGCCAGTAGCAAATGGTAAAAAGAGCTATCATATAAGAACAAAAGCTAATTTTGTGACACTTACATTGTTAGAGTAATCTATATTTCATTATTTACAATAGGCATCTCTGAAAACTGATACTGTGGGTTTTTGCATTACTTGTTGATGTGTTCTGTTTGCTTTTACTGCTAACATGAATGCCACAATACTGTGGCTCAGCAATCACGATGCTTCATGCACACCTTCCCATCCCAACTGCAGTGCCTGCCACATGTTCCTTGGTGTCCCTGTTGCTTCCTCCGGCACTTTCACGTGGAGGGTCTTCTCGCTCTGATCATCCTGCTATGCTCCCCACACCAGCACTTGTGGCTGGTGTGTTGAAAACTCTCCTGCTTCCTCCCTTCACTGTTCTTCCCTTCACTGTTTCTTCTGTTCTAGGGTGGCTAAACTTGGTCATGGATTAAGGCTCTGGCCTGGCTGTATCCTAAGTCAGGCATTGGGGCCTGCTACAGGCCCTACATTACTACCCAAGCCATACTTGCTGCATAAGGCCTGCACTGGAACTGGGCCTGCAGGTTTTATCTGGGTGACCAACATTCCTGATGTTTAGCTTTTGCCTCATTGATTGCTGGTGGCCTTGACCAGACTTTATTTAATTTGTGCCTTGATTTGTGCCTGTTGCTGTTTTGAAAGTGACCCCCTCCATTACTTATACTTGAACCTAGGTATTGCCCCTTGACTTAATGTTATTTTGAGGGTAACCCCCTCTAGTTTTACATTTGGACTCTTTATTGGTTTTGGTCCTTGCCCGGTGGGTGACCTCCCATCAGTGGTCACACAGCTGTAGTGTGACAACACTGCGACCTTCTTGGGCACCAAGCTCAAACTTTCTGAATCCTTCTCCACCTTACTCCTGATGACTTTTAGGAGGGATACGGTCCTGATGGTTTGTCTACTGCAGGATTTCAGATTCGTTATCAATGAAGAGAAGCCAGTACTGATGCCATCTCAGTCAGTTAATTTTTTGTGGTTTACTGTGGACCTGTTGCAAGTGGTTCTAAAACTGCCAACCTCAAAGATTGCGAAGATCTGACAGGCTATTCGCCACATGCTCATGGGATCCTGGGTCACACTATGGGATCTGGCTTGGATAATAGGTCTTCCATACTCATCAATCCAGGCTATCTTCCCAGCTCCCCTGCATTATAGCGCCATGCAATGCCTGAAGGTTCACTATCCAAAGACCTTGTCTTCTTATGACCAGACCATCTTTATCAACGACGAGGTTCATCTCAAAGTACAGTGGTGGTTGAGTCATATGGATGTGTGGAATGGCAGGGAAATATTCGAATCCCATCCAGACTTTGCGTTGGAATTGGATACCAACTCCCTGGCTTGGAGTACAACAGCTTGGCCACAGGAGGTCTATGGACTCTGGATAAATGGAATCTACACATCAATAGCCTGGAATTTATTGAGGGAGATTATTTGCTATTTGCAGATTCACGAAAGACCAAAACCATTTTTCTAGGGTTCTTCGGATGGATAGCATGTTGGCGGTTCGCTACATATATCACCTGGGAGGTTCGCATTCAAAGATTCTGTTTGATCTCACTCAGGATCTTTATCAGTATTGCCTGGACAGACATCTTTCCTTCAGGGCAGAATATCTCGCAGGCCAAGATAATCTAATAGCAGATTGCAGATGCCAGCAATTGGAGATTACATTCGGATGTCTTTCGCCTCTGACTGGATCTGTTTGAATGGGAGAATTGTCAGATGGAAGATTTTTTAAACAAGGTAGGATAGAAATTATGTGCTTGGTAGTGGATGCATTTTTGCTTGGTGGTGGATGCGTTTCTACAAAACTTGGTGGTGCATGCGTCTCTGCAAACATGGCCTGTTGGGAGCATATGCATTTCTCCTTTTCTCCATGATTCTGCAAGCTCTTCATTAGTACATGTCTTGCTGATAGCAACGCTCTTGATGACTCAGCCATGGTTTCCTTTGCTTCTGGAACTGTCTTGTGACAATCCCCTCCTCCTCAATTAATTGCCGTTGATTCTTCTGGATTCTCCGGGGGGAATCCACATTGGTTGATTGTCTGTCTCCCTGGTGGCCTGGTCCATTTTCGGGGATCATGGAAAGTTTAAGGTCTATCATCGACAGCACAGGATTTATTCTGGCTTTCCTTAGCTCCGGGCACTTGGAAATGTTATGTGCAGATGTAGAGAAGCTGGCATTGCTGGGGTCTGGAAAGAAAATTAGATTCCTATACAAGCCCACTCGAGGCCATCTTGAAATTTCTATCCTACCTTATTCTCAAGGTAAAGCATAAAGGACGATTAACATTTTTCATTCTGTTATCTCTGTGGCACATGTCCCTCTTCAGGGCTCTGGTGTAAGTAGAAATCCCACAATATGCCAACTTTTTGCAAGATTCACTTGGCTAGACCTTCTCCATCTCACTACTTTTCTCTTTGTGATATTTTCACAGTCCTTCATTTTCCAGAGGAATGGCTGGATAGTGATCTGTTTCATAAAACAAAATGAAGGTACGCTATAACTTTCAATATCTTTCATGAGTTTACCCACTTATATAAAAGTACACTATGTCTTTAAGGTGAAAACGGGGTAGTGCAAAAAATACTGTGCATTTTTGTTACAATAAAGGGCATCAAACAAAAGTGCAAAACAGTGTAGACATAGTTCCTTGTACAGTCCATACACAGAATCATCAGAGTCACTCAGAATGACATGTTTCGCCAATCCAATCGGCTTCCTCAGATCTGCTCTCTCACTGCTACCAATGGTATTTATGTCCATTCTATGGACAGGATTCGCCCAAAAAGTCAGCAAACATGTCCTTGTGATTGGCTTTCAAGTGAGTGATATTAAAATGTCCATGGTTAAAGAAGAATAACTATTCATTGCATTTAGAAGTTATATTGCACATGTAATCTAATAAGACAAATTGAAGCAACACATATAAAAAAAAATACGTTTTAAGAATCCTCAAACATATATTGAAAATCCTCAAACATATAATAAAACAGACACCTTAATGAGAAATACTAATTAAAAACAAATATAAAATGTATAGCAGTATCCTAAAATGACCTGACTAAATAATACCTAAGAAATAAGGATACAATAAAAATAACAAATAAATAATAAAATACCGGCACCTCGAATGTAGAGAAATTGAAAAAAAAAAAGTAAATATTAGATCACATAATCTTATGTAAATAAGCAAAAATACTTGAAAATTGTGTATAAAAAATTATAAAAAGTTAAAAAGGTCAAACTCGATATTTAACTCATTAGGTTCAAATGTCATGAGCTTATGTACCCATTTCATCTCCTCTCTACCTATATTTACTATATGATCACCCTTCTCCGTGATATTTTAACTGTTTAGCCCTTAAAAATATTATTCACATGTTCACCTATTCTTTTATGCAAGGAACTGTACTGTGTAACAGTGGACACTATACCCCATGGCTTAATAAAAGGCCAATTAGAAAGGATTAGAAGGAATTGTACAAATAATGATATTTTTAAGGAACAAGTTTTAATTAAGAGATTTAGAGAGAATAAATACCCTGACAAACTTATAACGGAAGCATATAATGAGGTCCTTTAACATAATCAAGGTGACCTCATATTGGTGCAAGATACTGCTGGTAATGGAAAAGATGACGAGCGACTTATACCCTTAGTGTTTGATTTCAATAATATGTATAGAGAAGTGAGAGAGATTGTAAACAAACTTTGGCATCTCTTGAAAAGAGAACGATTTAAAAGGAATCATACCAGATAAAACTTTTTTTACATTTAGGGGTGAGCTTAATTTTAAAACAATTTTAAAAAAGAAGTAAGGAATCATTTTTTTTTTAAATGAGAGAAAATGTTTTTATTCCTGTAACAAGTGTATAGGATGTAGATACAGCAAGAGTAAAACACTAAAAGGTATAAATAAATTTAAAACTAAAAATAATGAGAAAGAATTTTACATTAATGATTTGATCACCTGTTTTACTAGGAACGTAATTTATTTTTTAGTTTGCCCATGTGGCCTACAATATGTAGACCATATAATATGTCCCTTGCATAAAAGAATAGGTGAACATGTGAATAATATTTTAAAGGGCTATGCGTATCATAGCATATCTGCACATTTTAAGAAATATCATAACATGAATCCGAAGGGACTCATATTTTTAGGAACACAAACAGTTAAAAAGTCATGGAGTAGGGATGATCATATTGTAAATATAGGTAAAGAGGAGATGAAATGGGTACATAAACTGAGGACATTGGAACCTAATTGGTTAACTATAGAGTATGACCTTTTTAACTTTTTATAACTTTTTATACACAATTTTTAAAGGGACACTATAGTCACCCAGACCACTTCAACTCAATGAAGTGTCTGGGTGCCAGGTCCCCCAGGTTTTAACCCTTCAGATGTAAACATAGCAGTTTCAGAGAAACTGCTATGTTTACATTGCAGGGTTAATCCAGCCTCTAGTGGTTGTCTTCCTGACAGCCGCTAGAGGCGCTTCTGCGACGTTTGAATGCGCGCGCTGATCTTGCCTCGCATTCTTGCCTCGCATGCGCGTTCCGCTCCACTCGGGAGCTGATGTTGGCCGGGGAGGAGAGGTCAAGGGGCTGAGCTCGGCGCTGGATTAAGGTAAGTGGCTGAAGGCGCCAAGGGAGGGGGACCCTGAGGGTGGGGGGGACCTAAGGGTTACATAGTGTCAGGAAAACAAGTTTGTTTTCCTGACACTATAGTGATCCTTTAAGTACTATTTACATGAGATTATGTGATCTAATGTTTTCCTTTTTTCCAATTTCTCTCCTTTTAAGGTGCAGGTATATTATTTATGTTTTTATTTAAAAAAAATATTTATTATTTGTTAGGTATTATTTAGTCAGGTCATTTTAGGATACTGCTACATATTTTGTATTTGTTATTAATCAGTATTTCTCACTAATGTGTCTGTTTTAATACATGTTGGAGCATTTTTAATATATGTTTGAGTATTCTTAAGTATTTTTAATGTGTTGCTTTAATTTGTCCTATTAGATTATCTGCACAATATATCTTCTAAATGAAATGAATAGTCATTCTCCTGTAAGCATGGACATTCTGATATCCCTAATGAGTATGGACATTTGTTCTATATGTTTTAATTGCATGGAAATTAAGGTTTTCTTTGAAATCCAATCACAAGGAGTTATTCTCTGACTATTTGGGACTGGAATCTTGCCTCCTGATAGGTGGGTGGTAGGAGAAAGAAGCCTCATCCCAAGCCACAGGTACTGAAGTAGTTATGACTCCTGAATCTGCTGGCTCTGGCAGAGACCCACCCCTGAAATACCCTTTTCATGGATGACTGGGCCTTATTAAGGGTGGTAAATGCCCCCACAAAATGCCCAAGGTCTTTTATAAAAGAATCACCAAACAAAAGGCCCTGGGCATCTTTACCAGTCTTATTGAGGGTGAGATTGGCCAATTAGGCACTATTTCTATCTATCAGTGACACATACAGTCACTGAGCACTGCAGCACCAGGCCTGCATCTCATCAGAGTGGACCACAGAGCAAACTACTGACGGTAGGGAACCTGAAGCCAAAGAGGGGTCCCCCAGGCATTGAGGCACATCCATCTCATCGGGGAAGGTTGGCAGATAGGCCTCTTAGACTTGGGAATGTTTAAGTGCTCAGGCCCACAGTAAATACAAGCACATTGTGAGACCAGATTCAGCTGTATATATAAACCGCTGCAAAGAATAAGCAACACATGCAAGATGAGGTTAATCCCCCATATTAGCCAAAAAAAATAAAGAGGGAAGGAAAAGGGAGATCATCAGGGCCCAGACCAGAAGACAGGATACACAAGGCAAAGACAGAGCCAGGAATGAAAGGTCGCCACAGAAAATAGCTGCCAGTCTCGAGAATTGGGGCAAAAACCCATGAATGTGTCAAATTTGACGCCAAACGGAAAGGCGTTGGCAAACCGGATTCTGCCGAACACCACGTATCGAATTCCATTAGTTCTTGTTCTGCTGTTTCTGATCCGTACTGTTCTACTCTTCTCTCCTGATCGACTTCACCAAATATCGAGGAGGTGGGACTGTGTGCCCATGGTGATTGGTTGAGTTTTACTAGTTGTGTTAACTGTTTCTTTGCTGCTGGAGGTGTCAGTAATGAAGGTTAAAGCAAATATTCAACTCCTGTCTTCCAAACACCAAGACTAGATCAATCCCCAATTTTATTGCCAATAATATTAGATCAATTTTAGGGTAACTTTGTGTTGCTGATTCTGGATCTGGCATAGTTTTTTTTTCTAGATTGGTTCTGATTTTTTTTAGATAATGGATGCCTTCATTGAAGAACATAAAAAAGCAAAAAAAAAATTATGATCAGGTGTATCCTAGCCACAATGCACATGGAAACTGTTTCACTTCATGTAAATATCTAATGGCGTTGTATTCTGTACATCAACATAATAAAAACAAAGTAGGCTGATTCAGATAATCACACTTGTATCAAACAATGTATAGAACTACAATTTGTACATTTTTCTATTTATGTGAGTCATCAGGACAATCACGTTGGATGCTCCACCATACGTCTACCATCATGTGTCTATCTCACCTGCCATTTAAAAAAAGTTAAAACTTTCCTTTTGTCCATTTTTCAACTGCCTGCTGTCCATTTGTTGCCCTTTTTTCCAATATACACATGTTTTGCAAACTTTATGGGGAGTTCAAGACATATCTTAGTCTCTAAACTTCAATCCAAAATAAGCAAGATACCTTTGTCTTACAAAATAGTTGACATTTTCCTTTATTTTGTCCTTTGTTGAGCGTTTGCAGATTTACCACAAAGCTAGCAGAATGCATTAGGATTGTTAAACAGCCTCTTCCTCTTCTCTTTTTCTATGTAAAAAAAAAAAAAACAACAAACAAAAAAAACCAAAAAACGAATACATGTGAAATTATATGCAAATGATAAACTCCAAAACAATGTAAAGGAAAACATTAGTTTAACCCCTTAAGGACACATGCCATGTGTGACATGTCATGATTCCCTTTTATTTCAGAAGTTTGGTCCTTAAGGGGTTAATGCTTACATTAGATAAAAAACAGTTGTTGCTTTTTTGTTTTTGCTTTTTGTGTTGACCATGTTTATAAAGTATGCATTATAGTGGTATACTATATAAAAATTTTAAATCTTTATATCTATTTTTTTCTCATTAAACTATTATTATTATAGATGGAAAAGAGTATGATGCTTATTTATCATTTGCAAACCATTCCCTTGCTGATCACAAAGAAAAAGAATTTGCATTCGAGACTCTACCCAACATAATAGAAAACTACTTTGGATACAAGTTATGCATTTTTGAGAGAGATATTATTCCAGGTGGAGGTAAGTGTAGAATCATTCAGTGAACAATGCGTAAAAAGAGTATGTAGTTGTAGCAGTGTTTCAGTTCCTTTTGGTTTTAGTGTACACTGGGGAGGATCTATATACTGAAAAATAAGAATACATATAGAAAATGTGCATTAGTCCATAGGAGTGACTGGGTTTCATGACAAATGCATAACGTCTTTTTTTCAAACACGGCTTCTCCATTTTTGTTTTATTTTTGTTAAATAAATTCCAAAGTGTAGCTCTGTGTTAACTTTACAGGCTGCTGCATTGATTTTTATTTGTTACATTCAATTCATAATGTTAAATAGAGAAATAAGTAATTGGAATGGGGATGAGAATAAAGTATTGGAAAAACAAGTTTAAAAAAAATATATAAAAAATGAATGTACTTGTGCATACCTAGTATACCATGCCTATTACTAATCTGAAATCTGTATTCGTCAATTTCCCTCTATTGGTTACTTGACCTGGGAATAAAGTAAGCATTTAGTTGCTGTCCCCTGCTACACATTGCCATCCAATCAGTTTTATTGCGTGGATGAGAAGGTGGATAAAATGACTGTAGTTTGTTATAAATTTTGGATGCGGTAACATTTCAAAGACATTTCAACTCCAATTACTATGAAAACTAGAGAAAATTAAAGAGTAGTGCCATGTACAGATTTAACATCCTGTGTTACCATGCTTGTCGTTGCTGTCGTGGCACTACAAGTCTAAAAGTATCCTACTGTATGCACAACAAAATAAAGAATAAAAAAAAAAGAGTAGTGTTTTGTTACTAGTCCATACAAACAACACAGAATCAACACAAACACAAAATAAAACAGAAAGGTTTACATGCCAAATAATAAGTAAATAATTATTGTTTTTTTACATGATCATATGGGTCTTATGTTTGGCAAAGCTACATATTATAGATGCTGAGGAAAATGGCAGAGAGGTTCATTTTAAAAACACAGAAAAATAATTCTTGAAGTATGCAGAGAAATGCCTGATTTGTGTACTTTTACTAACTTAATGTGTGTTTATATTTAATTATTTTTTACAGCAACGGTCGATGATATCAACAGCTATCTTGAAAAATGCAGAAGGCTAATAATACTCCTTAGCAAGAACTGCATGTCTGACAAATCAATATATGAGCTTGAAAGTGGAATGCACAAAGCCATGGTAGAACGGAAGATTAAAGTTATAGTGATTGAATTTACACCTTTAAATGAACTGAATGTTATGCCAGAGTCTTTGCAACTTCTTAAAACCAGTAGCCGAGTAAGATGGGAAGCATCTAAGACACATTCTTTAACATCCAGGTTTTGGAAAAAAATTCGTTACTTGATGCCAGCCAAGCCAGTGGCACCAAACATTTCATTTTCAAATGCCAAAAAGTCTTCACTATCCTACGTTGTGAATAATAATAATATAGCATACTGATCACATGAGAGAACGTGGAAGCACACCACAGAAGAGAATGAACTGGAGAATTCAGAATTGCAAAAAAAAAACACAATATTTATTAAAGCAGATACAGGAATATATTGTTTGAATATCGTTTAATATTTTTTGTATGCAATCCATAATCAAGCCAATGTGGATAATTGTATGGAGGCTCTGGAAAACTATCTTGGGCTATATCTCTGATTTTGCCAAATCTCTGATTTCTTACAAAATGCCATCTCTGATTTCTTACAAAATGCCATTGGTGGCATTTTGTAAGAAAGAGTTAAAAGAGGTGCTGGAGGTATGCGAATTACACTGCAATATCAAAAATGTGCTGGAAGTCCTCTTAATAAGGAGATAAGAACCTTAAAGTTGGTTAACAAAAATTCCAATAAGCAGAGTAAATGTAACTGACCACCACATGTGTTTTACCCTAGTTGCTATTTTTTTTAAATCCCCCATACAAAGATTTATGTGTAATCCTCTTTATAAATTATCAATACCCAACTCTGTCCAATATTCATATATATATTTCTTAAATATGTACTTTTATTTTTGGTATGGTCTGTCAGAAGGGTTCTAAGATCTATTACTATAATGCCAATATATATTACAAGCACAATCCTCAGCAGGTAGATGTTAAACTATAAATGTTTGTGTAACTGTTTGCTTCTATAAATTGGTTAGCCAAACTGTAACCAGGACGGACTGGAAAAATAATTCAGTCCAGGCATTTAAAGGTAGAGCAGTCCAGTAGGAGTGGACAGGGACAGAGAGGGGTTATGTCATATCATGCTACCGCAAAGTGAGCATGTTAATTTGCTGACCCTCCAGGGCATCTCATGCACAGAGCCTTGCTGAAGAGCTGTCACATGGAAACAATGTTCTGTGTTTATTTTACACAACCCAGCTCTATGTTTGCTGTTGATTTATCTCTGGTGTCCCTAAAGAGGAATACCAGTGGACAAAAGTGGGACATAGCCAGTAAAGGGTGTTGTGCACGTGTGGAGGATGTCTGTAATACTGCATGTGGTTGGAGACTGCTTGTAGGATTGCATGTTCGTAGAGGTGACTGTTTGTGGTATCATGTATGTGTAAAGGAGTCAGTTTGTGGTGCACTATGTACTAGGAAATATAGTGTGTACGTGTTTCCACTGGCTGTAAAGTGTGTGCAACTAAGGGCTGTAGATATTGTGTGTGTTTTTCTGTCTGTCTAGTGGTTGTAGAGAGAGAAAGATAAAGTATATGTGTGTATTTGTCTATGGGGTGTGATGTTTCTAGAAGGTGTAATGTGCATGTACAGTTGCAATAAAAAATATTCAACCCCCTATTAAAAATTAGATTTATTGTCAAAATATACAGACTTTCAGCAGTTTGCAATAAACTATTTAAACAAAAGCAATTGAAATAACTCAACACAACGAATGCTTGAAGTGGTTTCCCATAATACGACTGAAAGTGCAACTTATAATGTCTTCAAAAATCATTCAACCCCTTGAATAGTACCCCTTACAACAGCACTGATATGCAAAACAGTTGTTGTCTCAAGCACAGGTGTGCTTGGGCCAAAAGTAGAGGTTTATACAAAGATACAGTGTCTAATGGTATGTGTATACATTTATTTGTTGTCGATCATCAGAAAAAAACAGGATAAGAAAAAATAATAGTGCAATATGTCACTTCAATTTGCACGGATTAACCCAATAAAATACTAACTCACTCTCTAGAGCTACGCAAAGCTCTGCTGTATAGCGCTTGGATGTTATAATCCCTATCTTGGGGTATGTGGGGATTCAATGCAACAGGTTTCCAATGTCCATTGACTATGTAGAATAAAGCAAAGATAAAATCCAATGGTACAGTATATTGATAGCAAACACCAAATAGTAAAAAGAAGGTATACTTCTTAAAGTTACCAGAACAATAACTTGATCTGGTAGTGTGTAGCTTTGGTGGTACAATCCCCACCCAGGATGTGCAGGATTCAATGAAGTAGAACATTAACAAGGTATAAAATAAAATAAAAATAGGGACTATATATATGAACAATGTACTTTCATATTAAATATATATATATATTTAGCATTAAAACAAAAATAAGGGTATAACATGCTCCAATACTACTTGACACGTTTCACCAAGGTTGGGCTCCCTAAAAAGTGTAGTTGTTCATAAAAATGTCCCAGTTTATATAGGCAGTTAATGCCTGAATAGCAAAGTCCGGTGTGCTGTTCAATTTCCTGGTTGATTCGAGGTCGCATTCGTTGCCCGGAAATGACGCGTCCCAGACATCTCCTATGGTATGATGGGAAATGTAGTATTCATCCTTACCTTGCGGCCACATCTCAATCAAATTTCATTATATTAACCTTGCACCACACCTCTTTATTTTTGTCACAGTACGTGATGTATCGGGCTTATGGGTAGGGGGGATGGGCAAACAATCTTAATGAGACTGTGTACTGTACTCATCCCCATTCTAAAGTGTTTGAGCTTAGGTGTGAGTATAATAGAGTAATCAGACCTTTTTGGTTTGTTTGAAACATAATCCTTCTACGAAAGTCATAGTCTTGTGAGCAGCTTCTTCGAAAGTCACTTGGTTAGCAAAGTGTGTAGGAAATTAGCTTTTCTTGAGATGTTTGTTTGCCACATACCAGTTTTCTTATCAAATCGAATCAGAGTGTCTTGCCGCTAAAACTTATGTTTATTCAAACATACACATCATCCGGTATTAACATATGTCAGTAACAGTCTTTGTCCAATACAGAGCAATGTTCAAGATGGTATCCATTTTTGATGTTAAAGGTATTGGCAACAAAATCTTAGCTACAATCAGTTTTATAGGTTAAAATTCAGTTTCATAGGGGCGTATACATAAGGTTGCCTTACTTTAAACTAATTGGCTATCTTAGAAAAAAGGTGGTGACTTAGCATCATTTGAAATCTATGATTAAAGCCATACGTTATATTTAAAATATATTACACAAAGGAATGCTATATACATGATTAAATGAATCAATACATTTAGAAATGTGAGCCTTCACAGGGAGTCTGGCTTGCAAGGTTTGGATCAAAGGTTATTATAAACAGGCCTTCATCCATCATTCTTAACAAGAACCATATGTTGACCATCCATATACAATGAAAAAGTCTGTTTGCTAATATAGGCCTAGGTATGGCTTCTCAATTTCAGTTTCAATGTTCTGGAATAAAAACTTATAATATTCATATCACAAAAACAATCCCACAACACAAATATTTAAAGTTCATTAAATATTCTTCAAGTGTCTTAATTGAATATATTTAAAAAATATATATATTGGGTTTAGGGACATGCAGCCATGTTCCCATAAGGGCACCAATGTGCCATTCATATATAACTGGCTAATACTTTGCACCCCAGCGTTTTCTATGTCATGAAAGTCCCTTGCCCTCATACCTGGCAGGAAGGCCGTATTTCTTAACAATAGCATCATTGGGATAGGGATAAGGCCTATGAAAATTTAATGGTTAGCATCCCAGACCCAGAGTGAGTTTGTGATCGCCAGGCATTAAGTATGTAAAAGTGCTCTGTGTTCCCTTGTAAACCACATACAGATAAGCACCCATCATTAGGGATTCCAAATCCACCCATCTTCTAGCCTCCCATTTGGGCCATTTAAGCCACTAGGTAGTAGAGGTGCAGGTGTGGTCAACCTGTGGATTTCAATCGATATAAAATGTTTTGGGCTATTTTGTTTTGCCATATTAAATTATCTGTGGTCATCTCTAGTCTTTTTTGTTATGCGAAGTGGAAGTGCTTGAAACATGTTGTTTTAACATGTGTATAGACTCCGATATAACCACTTCTTCAGGCAGAGAATTACACATCCTTATTGTTCTTACTGAAAAAAAAAACATTTCCTTGCATTAGCCTAAATCTCCTTTTATGCAGTCTAAGTGCATGACCTTTTGTCCTAGGTATAGTCCTGTTTATAAATACATTTCCAGACAATGATTTGTATTGGTCTTGAATATATTTGTATAATGCTATCATATGCCCCCAAAGTGCCGTTTTTCCAAACTAAACTTAAATAAAAAATACAATATGTGCTGGCACTCAATCCCGTCCTAGGTGCAGGTATTCGAGGTTAACCCCGGTAAGGCCTCATAATATCTAAAAATAAATAAACATGAATACCGCACTCAAGTCATATATATGACAAATATCCATAACAAACGTTAGTGATAATGCAATTGATTTATTGTTCCCGTAACCTACTTTTGAAAAATACTGACAATAAGTGATTATAAGTAATTACAATTGTTTTCCATGGATTAATTTCATCATATGTACAGTTGCATTAATTTCATTGTATGTACAGTTGCTATTTACAAATAATTGCAAAACCCTCCATAAAGTTTTCTTTCACACGGTTTAAATTCATTATATGGATATATATATATATACAGCTGGTAATGATCCCACTGGTGGTGTAGAGATGAAATGATCAGATCACAGGGGCCTTTGAAGGGACATGGATGTCCCGAGCGCACAGCCCAAGGACTGTCTGTGACGCTGATCGCACGTACAATACCTGTTGTTGGTGAGGTGATCTCTACAGCAGATGGTGTTTGCAGCAGTATCATTACACTACAGAGGAAGGTTTGCCTTGTCAGCCTGCTGAAGCAGATTCACCTCCTTCCCCCTCTTCACTTTCATCTAATTCATCACAACCAGGAAAACTCTCCTGCTCTTTCAGCCCTTCATACAAAGAGGATATCCATACTGGTGAGATCCACCTATCTATAGAGATCATTATAGTGCACTATCTTTTTGGACCGTTACATACAAGGAATCTTTTCCCCCCTTTTTTGACCTTTTTTTCATTTTTTCCTTCCATCCCCCCCTTTTTTTGTTCTTGACTTCATACAGTCAGCAGCACTTGGTACCGTGCCAGATATTTCATCTCTACACCACCAGTGGGATCATTACCAGCTATATATATATCCAT